GCAGGATTTAGTAGACCTGAGCTATAGGGGTTGCGATTAAAATATCGATGTTGCTGCCAGTTAGTTGCTCGTGTTCTACATTCTGAAAGTCGGCGAAAGCTGTTGAAATCTGGGGCCATCCAGTTGATATAGATATGACCACAGTTGTCAGAACACAGCTTATGAGACCTCAAATCAGATTCAAGTTACAGTGATGCAGTAAAAATGCTGTCTGAACATACACAGATAGTTGAATAACAAGACAATCTATAAGGTTGGGTAAAAGGTAGAAGTCCCATGGATTCTGGCGAAAATGCAGCATGAATAAAGAGTTATTAAAAATATTAATGAAAATTAAAGAAAAAGAAAAAAATTATTCTGTACATTTGGATTTCTTTCACCACAAACAACAGTACGGTTTGATTGAAAATTTTATTAATAGATTTCCTCAGTTAGCCTTGTATATAGTGTCAATTTTGGTTTGATCTAGCAATAAACTTCCTAATATTATTAGATGATAAAGTCAGCATATTGGATCTTTCTTTATATTTCTGCAATAATTTATTCATTCTTGGTTTTAGTTCGTTTCTTCTTTTCTTCATTTCTTTCTGCCATTTATCAAATTCGCACTTCCGGTCGGTTTGTTCGGCTTTTAGTTTTTCCAACATGGTGGAGTAAGTCGTCTGTTCAGATTGAGAAATAACCATAAACGACTCCTCAGTATCGAGAACAGATTCTGTTATGTGATCCTCATTCTCAAAACTCGTATCCAGAGTGTCTTCTGGTCTCACTTTTAACGTTTCAAAGTTATCCATTTTCCGATAATTACATAGATTGTCTTTAATTGGTATTTCAAATCGGAGTGATAATTAGCGGTATTCGCATATTGAAATTATAAAACTGTTTAATTCTGGAATCTTTTTCTCGGTGTGGCTTTTGAGTTCTTAATGTTGACAAGTCACTGACAAAGTGAGTATAAAGAAACTGCAAAGTTAAATTTTGAATGCAGACATATGAAGCTCAAAGGGAAAGCCTCCAGGTATTGGTTATAGCTTCTACCTTTCTCTGTAATATAAGCTTAAATTGAACATAGTCCTACTTCCAAAAAACACCATCAGATATATCACCATAATACAAGGACAAACACGGTCTTGGCTGACCCAGGTAATGTCAGTATATTTTGATAAAGAAGACCTATATTCTGTCAGCAGCAGGCTGTTTATTGATTCCTGAAATTAAAGAAAGAAACGTTATTCCTGCAGTGTATATAATTGGTTTGTTTAATTGGAATCTTGCATGTTGAATTCTTAATTACATTACACATACATAACATATATCACAGACCAGTGTACCTGGCCTATTGATTTTTATTATTATCTATGTATAATATACCATAAAAACATATTTCATGTGAACTTTTTGGAAGGATGCAAACCTACTCTCTGACTACAATGTTTACTAAATTGAAATTTGGCAATCATTTCCTTGTGAATTGAAACTACAAAATACTACTGAGAGTTTTAAATTATCTTTGGGTTGATAATAACATTAACCACAGGAAAACATGATTGTACTGAAGGGAATTTTCAGTCTAAAAAGTAGTTCATTTTCACTTGAATTTTCCGGGGTTGGTTTTTTTTTTAAAAATGTAAAATCACTGAACCTTATATTTCTATGGACTAAAAGACATTCAAAAACAAATGGCATACAGTTGAAAATTATATTTTGTGTATTTATGAAAAGAGAACAAAAATTCAATTCAAGATTCAATTTAGTCAATGTGTCCTAGAAATTTGACACCGTCATTATTTACTCAAATGCATAACATAAACAGTCATAATAGAACGGTAAACAATTTACTGACTGGTAACTAAGAATTATATAAGTTGTTGTCTTGTTTAAGTAAAGCGATGTAGACCTAACCGTACACACCTTTCTCTCTCCAATATTGTCCATCTTTAAGTGCAGAGTGCAGACAAATTTCTAAATTGCTTTAGGAATGGTCAAATAGTATGTACGAGTGACTATTATACACATGTACAGGCTAGAAACAGTCTTTACAATCTCTGTACAGACATAGTAGGCAGCTTCAGAATAACATGATATAAATGTTTCCAAATATCCTGTGCAAAAAGGAGCGCACTCCATTTTAAAGTATTCGTATCAAGTTAATAAATTTGTTTTTCTTAGAAGTTCAGGTTTTAATTTAGGTGGGAAATATATATATATATTGCTTACCGAGAGCTCCAGTTGCGTTGTACTGTAAAGTATATCGAATATATAGCTCAGGTTGTATGGAACTTGATATTTTGAATTAGTTTGATATACTTCAGTTCATTAGACCCATTGGTGATAAAATATATTAATATCAGAAATTTTCACTGGACTTTATGAGTTGAATGTTAGGAATGATGGAGAAAAAAAATAGTCCTCTGTATTATCATAGAACCGCTTGCTTGGTTGCAGACGGTGGACCGCGTGAGAAATCAGTCTGAATTATTAGGCATATATATCGACTGGTGGTGTTGCAAACGGTTCATCGTGGAAGTTAAGCAACATAATATATTCAGCTTCACGGAAACTGCCAAGAGAAGCTGCGATTCAAGACGGCCATTAAGTTTTATTGATTTCGTCGCTTTGTGGACTTTCTTTTTATGTAGAGCCTATGACTTATTTCTCAATGCGATTTATTTTCTCCAAAATCTCCCATTTCTATGATAGACAAAAAAAAGTAAAAAATAGATCACGTATTGATGTCGGTTTCAACAATTCTCAACGGTGTCTGCATTATAAAGCTTATGAAATCCATTAGCATGATACAGATCTCATACACAGTTCAGCAATTACAATTATATTATGAACAACAGGCCACTATATCAGCATTGTGTATTTAATCTAAGTTAATTAACCCGGCGTTCTTAAATTGTATACCTACATTGTTAATATATATTGTGGTTCTTATAACAGTCAATGATATATTAGGTCTACTCACCGTCTACAAGGCATTGTTTGAATCGTTATGATAAAGGGGATTCGTGTGCTGTTATTTGCGTTGCAATTGTTTGCATAATTTCATACTCCATGGTGTGTGTCTATGCACCTAAATATACATGAGCATGTTCCGTCATATTTATATGTCATGGTTTTCATAGTTATCTTGGGACCTTTGACTTATAGAACATGTATTTTCTCTCGTTTCATATCGTTCATCAGACTATGTCAAATGGTTTATTATTGCTCCTTTTCAATTTGATTATATTCAGAATTCGCCCCTTCATTACCGATTGGTCCTTTTTCCGTTTTTAATTATATCCCTTCCCATTTCGACCCCTTCCCTTTTCACTCCTCTCAAATTTTTTGAAACACCCGATATATATATAAATTGACTGGTTCCCACAGGAACATTAATAATCTTGGAAATTATAATAAACATTTTTTAATGGTGAAACTGGGGAATTTTCCTACGTTAAATGAAATAGATAATGCATAGATCACATAAAATAACGGATCTGTGGTGGTTTGTTTAGGACATGTTGATTCTAATCATTTTTCATTTTTGTTTGCTGAATTATCATTTAATTCTACCGTACTATGGAATACTACTCTGTGTTGTATTCTACACAACGTTTCAACGATAACATTATCACCAGTAGATGTTAAGATCACCGGATAATGACAAGTAAATGGTTGTGTACAATAAAACCCAGGAATAGTATACCATAAAATTTTTATCCGTTATCTATTTTTGCATATAGGTTGAATTTTTTTTTCAAATTTATGAAAACTATGAATTAACTATATTGAATATATTTGAATTGACTATATTGAATATGTTTGAATTAACTATATTGAATATGTGTGAATTAACTATATTGAATAGGATTGAATTACTATTGATTATGATTGAATTAACTATATTGAATATATTTGAATTGACTATATTGAAAATATTTGAATTAACTATATTGAAAATGTTTGAATTAACTATATTGAATATATTTGAATTAATTATATGGATTATGTTTGAATTAACTATATTGAATAGGTTTGAATTAACTATATTGAATATATTTGAATTGACTATATTGAATATATTTGAATTAACTATATGGATTATGTTTGAATTAACTATATGGATTATGTTTATATTAACTATATTGACTATGTTTGAATTAACTATATATGGATTATATTTGAATTGACTATAATAAATATGTTTGAATTAACTATAGCCTATAAAAAATATTTTTGAATTAACTTTATTGAATATGTTTGAATTACCTATATTAAATATTTTTGTATTAATGTCATTGAATATATTAATTTTAAGATAAACAGATGCTCCCTCTAAAGACCTGTTTCAAAACTTTTGGCACGGGGGCCTTCATCGTCGACGTGATCCCTGGCGTGATTTGGACACGGTGGTTACCCCTCGCATTACTTGTCAGATTGAAACTAACTAGCTGACATGAATTTTAGTTTGGAAACATAATTCTGACAGTGAACTCAAAATGTAGGTTTATTAACTTAAGTCTTGCGGGTGGGTTTTAAATCCCAACCACCCTACCGCCCCTACCACATCTAGTCGGATGGAAAAACAAAAGACTGCCCTTGAAAATGCTTTCTTTCTAAAACTAGAATGAAAAACATAAATTAGACTAATGCTTTTATTCACTTTATTTTAATTTTTTTCTTTTATTATTATTTATTTTTTTCTTGAAGATCAAATTAATATTGTCAAAGGTCGTGGTTCTCATTATAATTAAACAATAGTGTAAGGGAGAGAACTCTATTTAATTAGAAAATAGTTGTTGTCTGAAAAATATTTACCTTATTCTATAAGGCACTCGCTAAATTTTCATTAAATTTTTGTGAAAGAAATTTTATTTTGAGTTATAGAATAGATATTTTCATATATGAAATATGATCTATTAGGTTTGTGATAAAAGATAATTTTTCAGAAGCACAAAACAAAGCGTTGCTTTCTGTCCCGGTCAATTCCGCATTTCATTGACTCGGGTAAATTTGTGACAAATCGAACCACGTGAAGTCGTCTTTATGCTGTTGTTGCCGTTGAAAAATGCCTGCCGCCACAGAAAAACCAGCGAAAAAACCTCAAAATGAGCCGGAAGATCCCCTTAGACAGGTTCTCACGGTTGTTGACAGGAAAGTCAGCAACCTCGAGAAGAAAAAGGTAAAGAAAATGTTGTAATTGATCTCCATTTTTCCGAGGAAATGACTGTCAATTTTCGACTGATCGAATTCAATGATTCTGTGTCACCAAACAAAACATTGAAGATAATGAAGCCGGAGGTCTAGTAAAAAAATAAACATTTCTTATGGTTGATGCCCCCTGATCAGATTTCCTTTGCCATCTCTTAGATTTGTTAATAGTTAGCCTATTTGCACGGTATTTTTTTTGGGGGGGACATTTTTGAGGAGATAATACAAAATTATTTTGTGATGAAAAAATCTAAAAATGGCCGCCATTCTTAGAAGTTGATAGGATTTCCGTATAGATCAAGGGCTAGTTTTATTTTTAGTTATTTCAGTAGAAATCCTCTTAGTCAGCATGAGAAACTATTAGGCCTATTATACATCACCTAATGCTCAGAGTCATGTTTAATGTTAAATGACACCAATCAATAAATTATTTATTATTAGTCTATTTTTCAGATCTACTCCCTTCTCACCTACCTACTGTCAGTGTGATTTCTGAATGGATATTTCTTAGTTAGCCTATTTCTAAATGGCAAAAGTATTTAATGATCTTGACTTGGCCAGATTTGTAGGCCAAGTGATTCCTTTTTTGTTACTAAATAATCTGATTTTGAACTGCTGCTGTAGATGCACATTGCTAAATCTGTACTTTATCCATGTCTTTTACAATACTACCCATATGGAAATATCCTTTTCATAGTATATTTTCAAATCTTATCTTTCACTATTTACAGGCCAAACTTGAAGGACTAAAGCAGAAGTTGGCTCATGGAGATCGTTTGGAAGCACCACAAAGGGTAAATATGAGACACTCTCAATCTTATATATTACCAGGTAGTCTTTTGTTTCTCTTAAGCTATTTGGTCATTTAATATTATATTCTTTTCAGCCAAGTTGAGAATTTAATTTTACGTTCATTTTCAAAGTATGCCTATAAAGTGCTAACTAAAAGCAAAGAAACATATGAAAGTAATGGTTTGACAGTAATTCTATGCTTCTCTATCTCCACTGTATGATAATTTATAACTTTTCAGGAGGCTGTGGCTCGATATGACCAAGTTGTTCATAATCTTGAATTTGCTCAGGAACTTCAAAAACAATTTGAAGCTATTTCAAATGAGGTGAGTAAAGATCAAGAAATATATAGAATTTAAGTCTACATTTTAAGAATATCTAGAGTTACAGTTTCATCTTTGAAATTTTATAGAATATATGCTTGTTTGTATAAGAAAATCAACAATTCTATTGTCATCGACCTATCAATATCCTTGTGTTTTTTCAACCATCTCATAAAGAACTGGTATAAGAAATAAAATATTTACTTGTTTCATTATTGAGCAATGCTAGTACTTCAGTATCGTGGCAGCTTCTTAAACACTTTGACTTATTTTTGAATTGTAATTAAAATGTGATAGGGGTTGTGTCACCCACCCTACATGAGCCCTCTATCTTGAACCGTATGAGTTGTTTCATCAATGAAGATCACATATTAAATATATATTATTGCAGGCTGAGAGACTACAGAAGAAAAAGTTGAAGAAAGAGAGAATGGAGAAGAGGGTGATGGAGATGAGAAGAGTACAGGAGTTGATAGAATTACAGAGTTTATTGGATAGTTTAGGTTCAGATACTGTACGTAGTGATTTACAGACTGGTAACCATGGAGCTGTGGTAAGTGGTCATTTTAATATTTTCTAATCCTTTAAGCATGTTAACTGTTAACAAGTTGTTCGTTGATTTATTTCTATTTTGAATTCTATTGTTCATTAATGGCCTTCTATTTTGTAAATCATGTTATAGCATTGTTTAATAAGTTTATCCAGGATGTATTGCTCTCATATTTTAAATGCTGAATCTTCAAAGATAGGCCAACTATAATTCTTAGAAATATTATTTTACAAGTGTGTCACTTTATTGAACTATGTTGTTACAAAATCATATCTTTATCAGGTTCATAAGGAGACCTAAAAATGAAGATAAAATCTAAATGAGCCACATTCAGCATATTTATGTTATCAATTTAATCACCTATCTGATGTTGTATTTATATTCAAATTTCCAACTGTAGGTATTCACAGAAGAGAACCTAACCCAACTGGATGAATTTTACCAGTTAATTTGTCCAACCAGGGAGAGTAAAGATAACTATAGAGATCAAACTATGGCAGCTTCAGTCCATCTAGTAAACTTACTAGACAGTTCTCACAAAGAAATAGTGGGATCAACTTATAAACAGATTAAAGAACTTCTTACATTGCTCAATAATTGTGGATATTTCGAAAAATCAGTGGAGAAAAATGACTCAGAAAGTAAGTTTTTATAATATATACAGTAATCTAAATACTTGCTGTTTTTGTTGTTAAAGAGCAATTTTAACTATATTTGGCTGTCTAGCATAAAAATACTTCAAAAATACAAATTTTGATTCTAAACTTCTGAAGATTAACGTTCCAGTATGTGGGCTGTTATCACCAATTTCATGTCATTGATGATTGAAGGGAGGGGGGGATACTTAATGTTACTTTCATGTTTGAAATCTATATGATGAAGTAACTCAGTGATACAGACCAGGCCATCATAAGACTTCCTATTGTTTAAAACTGAGTAGGGCTTTATTTGTAAGATATGTTTCCTTGCAGAAGAAAAAGAAGAGGTACCTAAAGAAGATGATGTTGAGAGTTCGACGACGTCAGTTGAAAAAGACCAGGAAATTGAGACCCCTGTTACTACAGAAAACATAGAATATACAGACCCTGTGGAACCAACCTTCTCTGATCCTGTCATAGAGTCGCAACCTACGGTCCCGCCCACTTTACCAGTGGCCAATCAGGAGATGGATAATCAGTATTTTAACGCACCCATTGAAGAACCTAAAAACAGACCTGTACAAGACATTGTTACACAGGGAAACTTTAACTTCCTGCAAGATTCTATGCTCGAATTTGACTGTAAGTTTGTATATTTTAATGAGTAACTTCACAGATTCATAGGTCCATAAGAGTAATATTTTGCCAAGCAGTATGAAAATTGGAATGGTGTAAAAACTAGTGCTGGGTGGATTCACTGATATATCATGCGAGCACTAGTAAATACACATAAAAGCATATAAAAACATTTTAACAGTCCCTTTTACATCTAATATATAGAGAAACAGCTTCTTATGAACCAAATCTGTTTCCAGCTCATTCTGATCCAGCCATTGTAGCAGTGTTACCAAATCAACCAATGACACGACCTCTATCAAACCAACCAGACAACCAACAACCGACCTATAATAATCAACCTTACAATGAGCAGTCCCATTTTGATGATGGTTACAACATGACTTCAGATCAAAACTGGGCCAATTCAACAGCATTTCCAACAGAGGACGCAATGTATCAAGATGGCATGATAGGAAATCAACAGTCTACATATCCTGAAACCTTAGAACAAGTTGGTGGAAATGTTTTATCCTCTGTTATCATATTTCATAATTAATACCACTTTTCATTATGAAATATTTACTCAATGATTGATAAACTTCCTCTTGTGAATATTGAGAAGTTCATTAGCTGCTGTTAATTTCGCGAATATGTTGTTTGGGTTTCGCTTTGTTGTTCGGATTGTCACTACAGGGTTTATTTATGATGATTGCAGCATGTCTTAGTTTTCACTTATTTCCCATATCCCATAACTGAATTAACCAACCAGTTGGAGTTCAATCACCCTTTGTATTCTGTTTTATTTAAATATTGTCAGGGATATTGTAAGGTCTTGAAGTGTATATCTATATCAATATTATTTGCATCTACTGTAAGATGTAGCTCTTGTTTCAAGATTTTTTAGTTTGGTTTTTTGTTTCAGGGAAATGATCTTGACGATAAGAAATTCACGATGAATGCCAAGGCACCTGTTTTTACCTCCATGTATAATCAAGGGGGAGATAACTCTGATAGTCAAAACAATAGTCACTCTTATCAAGGTAAGTCTATATTTCTGATAGTAGTTTGGAGCAAAAATATAGCTCTAATACAATAGCTCTCTAGTCTATTTGTTATAGTAATTACTCAGTTTAAAAAAATGGTTACCGTATAGAATTTTTTACTTCTTGAAACTGATTTGAATTGTAATCTTGAACACCTTATTACAAATATATGGCCGAACAACAACCTTGGTCATATCAATAATGTATCAAAATGGAGAGTCATAAAATTTGTTTTATTTCCTTGGTTGATTTAAATACCCACTATCTCCATTCTTTAAAAATGAGGTATTCTGAACTTGTGATGGATATTTTCACATTACTGTTATTGTAGGTAATAATCAGAATGATGGCAGTTACCGTGGTAACAGTCGTGGTATATATCGTGATAATTATCGTGGAAGAAACCGAGGGGATTCAAATCAAAATGGATATGGCCGAGGACGTGGAAGAGGTCAGTATTATTTGTTATCAACAATCTGAATTGTTTAATCTGAACACTAGGACTTGTTATACTGGACTACATAACTACTGGATTTTTGCCAAATGTGTTGTTATAGGAATTGTAGTTTGGAACATTTTGACTGAAAATTGGTCTCGACATCTAATATTTCAGTAAACATCTAATTAAACAGACATATTGTGATACTGTTTGGAATGAAGTACAGTTTAAAACTAAATGGTCATGTAGTTGCATGAGTCGAGTTGCCATATTTCTCCTGAAAATAGAAGATGTTGGATCCAAATGTCGTCCTGTCATGCACTTTGTAGTAATCGCAATTAGAAAGCCAAATGTCACATTAAACAATGTTATCTTATTTAATTTATAGGTGGATATCAAGGTTATCAAGGGCGCAATAATGAATATAACAGAAATGATGGTTACCAAGGTTACCAAGGAAGGGATTACAAGTCAGGAGGTTATCAAGGTCGTGGTGGTCCTCGTGGGGGACGTGGTGGACCTCCAAGGGGAGGTAATGCTCGAGGAGGAAATAGAGGCGGATTCGGAAGACCTCAAAATTAACAAAATCTTATATACTGGTCTCCTCAGCTTCTAATTTAAGAAATATCAGAGTTGATGGACCAAAATAATAAAAAAATATCTGAAAATTCACTGGTCTTGGAATGAATGTTGACATTATTTTCATTCAATGGACATAACTCTATATATAGTTGTTTACTAATCTCAATTCCGTCACAAGGCATCCATCTTGAATCATTGTATCACCATGGCAACAAGACCAGTGAATTTTTACATTGATAATTCATGTATCAACTTTTATTTTTGGGAATCTAACTTTTTGATTTTGTTCTGTTGACCAATTTCCTAATTATTCATATTATATGGAAAAGATTTCATTTGCTGCAAAATTTTCCTGTTTTATTATGTTTCGCAAACTCAGTAATTACACCTAAGGTCACATTATCTCTTTGGACTAGAAATATTCTTTAACCAGCCTTATGGGGTTTTTTTTGAGTGTTGGTAGAGGGTAACTTGAGCATCTTTGGATCAAATTCTTACCTATTGGCTTGCAATTCCACATTTAAGCCACTGCATGTGGATAAGAATGTAAAATGTAATGTCCTTTATAAGGGTAATAACTATCCTGTTGGACAGATAAATGCATTTACACAGAGATGCCCTTAAAGTTCCGTTAAATTTGATTGGGAAATTGTTAATTGCTCAACAGAACAAATGAAAGATGAAGATTCCCAAACATATAAAAAGTTATGTGGGTGTGTAAGGCAAGTTCAACGAGCAACAACCATATTTTTTCTTTTCCTCATTTAATCGTATATCCTGATTGTAATAGACTAAATTATTCAATAACTTTATCAGAACAAATATCTCATTCTTTAAGGCTGAATTAAATGGGTGAGTTAAGAGGTCTGCATTCTCTGTTGATTCATGTTAAAGAATTCCTCTACATAATGTCAAGCTATTACTAACTTCATCTTATGAGGCAATAGTCTGTGCAATAGTTACCTTTCTTGTGTCATAGAAAATTAATAAAAGAAAAGAGACTAGGTATTAGTTCATAATAGCTTGATCGTGTAGATGTTGATCACACATCTAAAGCTTATTTCACATTTGTTTCAAAAGCAAAATATAGTACTGATATTGAACGAAAATTATGTCCATTATTCTTTCGGAAGCCAAGACATTTTTAACTTTCAATCGAAGATGTCCTTTCCAACATTTTGAAATAGGCCTTGAAATAGATGGTAACTTATGAGATCAAGGGATTAGCAAATTACAGACTACCCCATTATATTCAGCCTTGTTTCATGCATCCATCCATTTGAAAATATAGTTTCCACGTTTATATTGCTCTATATCTGACACAGCCTTGAAATATAACTGATTTCTTGGTACTTCAAGATCAGATGAACAAATGTAAAAAAAAAAACACTTTAAGGATGTAGGTTTAGGCATTAACCAAAATTTCGATAGTTAGATCATTTTCATTTCACCCTCTTAAAAACAAGGTTGTGAAAACCATGTCACTGAATATTTCTAGAAATTACAATTGTATTAGCTAATTATTCGTTTTCGTATTGTTTTACAAATATTTCTTGAATTTGCAAAGCCCATTCATCCAATTCTTTGCAAATCATTCTTTCATAATTTTGTGATCATCATTTTCATCAAAAATTTGAATTTATTACAAATATTTGCAGCATGCTTCGTTATGAATTATTTGATATAAAGCTTTCATTAATTAAAATTTACTATTATGGAGGAATGGTTTAAATTTATGCAATAATATATCAAAATTGAATTGTAGCTATTGATTGGTTTTCTATTTATAGCATCCAATCATTTGTTTAGGATTTTTATAGAATTCACCAAGAGGTCCAGATTAAAGGGATTTTTAAGACTTTTGCAAGGGTATAAATCGATTCTCACAGTGTCCCTGACACACATGAAAACTTTAGAAAACCTCTTTACAATTCCTTTAAGAGCAAAGGTAATTTGATGTTGGGGAATTTGGCAATAGAATTCTGGAATTTTGGGAGAATTTAATTGTGATGATAATTTTGAAAAAAGAAATTGTATAAAGTATTAAGTGTGTATGTCCATAAATAGTGCTATATTGAAGATGTATTTCGAGAATTTCAAATTGACTTAGAATTGCAATTTATACCAAAAATTTAGTCCCATGCTGAGTTTAATCTTTTTAACTTATGCTGGAAGAGTTGCAATTCAAAGAAATTTGAACTTAATTGAATACACCTTAAGTTTGTTTTTCTAATAATCTTTTCGGAAGCAAAAAATTCTTTTTCACTTTGTTTATATTCAAGGTCAATTGTCTGCCATTTTGGTCTATCCATCTGAAATGTTTAAATATATAATTTTACCATCTAACAACCTTACATGATATGTAAACCAGAGACATAATCTAGAGAGTCTCTCAGGACCTGTGTTCAAATCATTTGTAACATGTAGTAATCAATGGGTAGACCAAATGGTTTATCATAATTTGACTATAATTTGTGTAAACACTATTCAAGGCACTATTCAGAAGTATTGATAAGTGACCTATATTCTTTCTGCTTCAAATGAATAAAACAAAATAGTCTACATCATAGTTTACTTTTGACCTTCATTTACCAAAATCTTCATAGCTGCAGTATGTCAAATATATTACAGAAATCATGGTATGTCAAATATATTACAGAAACAATGGTATATCAAACATGTTACAGAAACCATGGTATGTCAAATAAATTACAGAAACCATTGTATGTCAAACATGTTACAGAAATGATGGTATGTCAAACATGATACAGTAATCATGTTATGTCAAACATATTACACTAGGTATCTCAAACATATTACAGAAACCATGGTATGTCAAACATTACAGAAACCATGGTATGTCAAACATATTACACTAGGTATCTCAAACATATTACAGAAACCATGGTATGTCAAACATTACAGAAACCATGGTATGTCAAACATGTTACAGAAACCATGATATGACAAACATGTTACAGAAACCATGGTATGTCAAACATATTACATAAACCTCGGTATCGCAAACATATTACAGAAACCATGGTATGTCAAACATGTTACAGAAACCATGGTATGTCAAACATAAAGTAACCATGGTATATCAAACATGTTACAGAAACCATGGTATATCAAACATGTTACAGAAAGCATGGTATATCAAACATGTTACAGAAACCATGGTATGTCAAACATGTTACAGCAGGGTGGTATGTCAAACATATTACATGAACCTCGGTATCGCAAACATATTACAGAAACCATGGTATGTCAAACATGATACAGAAACCATGGTATGTCAAACATGTTACAGAAACCATGGTATGTCAAACATATTACATAAACGTCGGTATGTCAAACATGTTACAGAAACCATGGTATGTCAAACATGTTATGTCAAACATGTTACAGAAACCATGGTATGTCAAACATATTACAGAAACCATGGTATGTCAAACATGTTACAGAAACTATTTTATGTCAAAAATGTTACAGAAAGCATGGTATGTCAAACATTACATAAACCATTGTATGTCAAGCATTTTACAAACAAGTTACAGTTTTCATGGTATGTCAAACATGTTACAGAAACCATGGTATATCAAACATGTTACAGATTCCATAGTACGTCAAACATGTTAGAGAAACCATGGTATATCAAACACGTTACAGAAACCATGGTATGTAAAACATGCTACAGAAACCATGTTATGTCAAACATGTTACAGAAACCATGGTATGTCAAGCATATTACAGAAACCACGGTATGTCAGATATAAAACATAAACGTCGGTATCTCAAACATGTTACAGAAACCATGGTATGTCAACCATGATACAGAAACCATAGTATGTCAAATATATGACAGAAACCATGGTATGTCAAATATATTACAGAAATCATGGTATGTCAAACATGTTACAGAAATCATGGTATATCAAACATGATACAGAAACCATGGTATGTCAAACATGTTACAGAAATGATGGTATGTCAAACATGATACAATAACCATGGTATATCAAACATGTTACAGAAACCATGGTATATCAAACATGTTATAAAAACCATGGTATGTCAAACATGTTACAGAAACCATGGTTTGTCAAACATGTTAGAGAAAAACATCTTTTTTTTTATAATTTTATTGTTTGATCTGATTTCTCCAGTTTGTGACATTATACACAAGTTATAAATACAGTAACAATGGCATTAATCTAAAAAAAAAACTGTACAAAGATGTCTAAATACAAACAAAAACATTTTGGTTGGTTTGATTTCTTCTTGTTGACCATAGCAAACTCAACTTTAGTCTTGTTATTTACTTCATTTGTGAAAATGAATACTTTAGCGACCTAGTGATAGTGATCACAATAAATAACAGAACATAATTTTATGGTTTGTTATTCCTGAGTTAATGTACACAATGTTTCAACAATGATGAGAGTGTAAATTGTTGAAACATTGCGAACAACATTACTCAGGAATTAAATACCATAAAAATGTGTTCTTTTTATATAATGTTAGATATCAGACAACAATTTATCATGATTTCGAGTAAAAGAAATTCTACAATTTTTTTCAATGCTCTGTACTGTCATGGTAACTGAAGTTCTATAAAAACATTGGTCTACACCAATGTCATTAATATTTCAAAATGAGAAATAATCGTAATGAATGTTTATAGTTATACAATAGAAATGGCTATTACATGTATATGTAAGTAAAGAAATATTTCCATCATCAGAATCCTTTTTTGGAATCTGCTTTCTTTTTTATCTTGGGTTCCTGTCATGGATCAACATAGAATAAATCTAACCAACCACAGCAAGTTCACACATTCATTACAAATTTATCAGATTAAAAACAATTCTGACAAAACTGGCAAAAACAAGTAAAGTTTGAAGAACATTTAAAAAAAAATATTGTGACAGATTTTGCTATAAACTGAGAAAAAGTTTTGTTTTGTTTTGAAACTATGAATTTCTAATGTTTCGTTAAAAATTAAAGAATATAAATCCACTTTCAATTGCTCAATGGTTTACTTGGCTCAATACTATAAATGAAAATTATTTGCCTACTGATTTTGAAAATAAATTTGTAAGTACAAAGTGGTGATACACAATTTGTTCATAATATCAGGCCTTACCTAATTCTTATTAGTAATAGCTTACAGTTGTACCTCGACATAAAACTAATAATTTTTTGATAAATATTTTATTAGTTTTCACTTTGAACAAACAAAGAGACTTGTGGATTCAAATTTAAAATACAGTCATTTCTATAATTGTTTATGTTTTAATCTCATTCCGAATTCATTCACACACACACACATTAAAACACACATTAAAACACTCCCATACAAAAGCTATTAAGTCTATTCAGTCATAATTATATTGACACACCATTATCTAAAACGAGAAAATTCATAATCCCAGCAAATTGATTTATGAATTAATCTAATCAATTAAGGACTTCATAAAACACAATTTGATTTCTGTTCTAAATTCTAAACATTTTCGGCCTAAATGAAAAATGTGAATTAAAAACATGTAATGGTCAATTGGAATTGAGATATAAATGATTACCCTTAATAAAGTTAATGTAGTTTGATTTTCAGGGAAAAAATTGAGAAAATCCCTAAAATAGAATGAATAATGAGAACCATAATTTAGTTGTAAATTAAATGAAATCCATTAAGTGATTCAGAGGATGGTGAAAATCAAATGAAGTAATCTGAAATAGTTCAAATATTTTTCACCTTAATAAATACATAGGAATTGAATTAACCACAAAATACACACGTTAAATATGTTTTATCTTAATTGAGCCTGTTTTCAATTTCTACATGCAAAAATATTATCATATTAATAGGTCCAGATAGAGTCTTCCCAATTCAATATCATGATGTCTGCATTATGTAAACTTTTTAGTTCATAGTTTCCAGAAGGTTTGCAGAGATCTAAAGATCTACTCAAGATCTACTCAAGGGTAAATTAGATGTGCATTATATTTGCAATTATACAGTATAATGAAACTCTCTGTTAATATAATAATGAGGTATATTCTCTTGTGTTTGAAAGTAAAATAACAGTGCAATATCAAATCATAAAATCACATCACAAAAATCTTCTTTTACTGCTCTTGGAAACTGACAAACAAGCTCAACTAAAAACCTTAGTAGTACACCAGACTGTTTTTAAAGAAAACAAATCTATTAGTATATTTATTAGTATATCAATCATTACATTCATCACAACTCTTTCACACATTGATACATGAACACTTGATTATAATGAAAACTTTTATAATTTCTGACTTTCCATGTAATGTAAAAGATGACATGAATTAACAAAATTTTCTGCTCTGTTTAGATCAGACAAAAACAGTTTCAAATGAAAATTCAAAAGAAAGTGTCAAGCTCAAAATTACTTGAGGTAACATTTCTGTAAATCTACAGAAAACAAGTTCTGTCATATCAATTGAAAGTTAAAAATTCAAAAACAGTTACTTTCCCCTTTCCAGCTTGAAACTATTAAAACCAAAACATGACATTATGCTTAAACTTTTAACTTTCATCTTGCGTAAGTCATGATATTTTGAAGTTATGCTCATTTGATCAGTAAAAAAATTTCATTCTCTTTTGCAAATAAAAACTAAAATATCACATAATAAAATATTAAAACATCATAGAACATAAATACACCATTATTCAACTTTTTATGAAAATTTCATTTTTAATTTCCATGATAAAGAATGAGAAGGTCATATAAATTTTAGTTTAAATCATCAGTTATAATGGTTTTAGGAGTTTTATACATTCCAAATCTAAACAGTTTATACATTGCCAGTCAAATTCTAAGATCAAAACATGCTACCAAAAATACCCTTTGATTTTTTTGTAGGAGGCTCTTAGATATGGTATAACTAGTTTGAATCAAAGTTATATGTAGCACATTTTACTCTGTAAATGTAAGAGAGAAGAAATTGACTTATGTTTTCTTCACAGATTTATCTGAGCCCTTTACTCATGAAAAATGTGTTATAAATATTACTTTGCTTTCTCTTTACAACATTAAAATGTGTTTTGTATTCAGAAAATTGCAAATCTTGCTTTATTTTTTCTAGCAATTTGTCAACCATCAAAAATATTAATTTTATGTCTGATTTTGTTCCAAAATAAAAGTCATCATAAAAAGTTGAATAAATTGTAAGAAAGCACTTCTAAAAATATTATTGCACTCAAAAAATAATAAAAACAAACACAAAATAAAATAAACAACAACATTAAATTGGTCAGAAATATATTTTATTTATATCTCTCAATAATTTTTTAAAAAATATTTGTATTGCACTAGCATAAAAAAAACATTCTTTCTGAGAGTGTCTCATAATATGACATATTTTCTTTAATAATTCATTAAAACGGAAACGAAGAATTAAAAACAATGAAAATAATATCAAATTCTAAATAATCCTTAGCATTAATTATTTTTTCGTTGATAAGAAATAATCAAATTTAAGTATGACAAGTGGAAATATTTTTGAAAAGACCTATCCAAAGTCATCCAAATTGCATTTGATACAATCTATTTTCAAAAAATTAATTTTTTAAAGTTGATTTGGAAAATTGTGAAATTGAAGGATTTTGTGTAATAAAAAGATGAAACTCACCAGTCTCACAAAATTCATACGAAATGATGTTGATAGACAGAATGAATGAATGAGATGAAACTATGGGTGTATAAAATGGTTCATTCACTCAAACAAGATGAGATAAAACATGTACAACACTCTGTCTTTAATATTTCACCAAATTGCCTATGATACCTGCTTATAACCAATAGTCAGTAATCTTCTTACCTCAATTTAAAGATTTTTATCACATAAGTGTCAATTTAAGGTCTATAAATGACTCCAGAACTCAAGTAATAAAAATATTAAAATTGAGATTTTCTATTCAGATATATCAGTTCAGATAGGGTAATGGATTTGAGGTTTTATCTTTTCAAAGTTTACTAATAGTATTTAACAAATTATAGGCCTACATTCTTGATCAGCATTTACAATCCAGAATTTCCATGAGTTTTTCTGATTACCAGTACTTATAAAACTGGACTAGGAAATCAATGAGGGGCTACCATCTTAATTCTCTCCCTTATTTGTCTATACATGTTACCTTTTGGCTGGTTTGAAAATGATCTTCATTCATAAAACATTCAAGTCTAAAGTTCAGACTAAAAACTAAAACACAAACACATGTGACAAAAATTCTTTTAAAATAACCTGACTTTTTGCGAAAAACATTGCTTTCAGTAAACATAAGCGTAGTAATACATCTATTTCCAAATCTCTGCACTAGTTTCGGCAGGGATTTTTAATTTACACCTTTGTACAATGTACAAAATAGTTCCGATAACAAAAAAGTATTTGCACAATTCACTTCACCACTGTCTTTGTATTCTGCTCTCATAACACTATGACATCACTTCCTTAACAATCCTTGACCTTGTCAAATACTGTTAGTAAGTTGTTAAAATTGATTTAAATCACATTTTCTATCAGACTTTATCACGAGAGAGTTCTGATAAGATTTTTCTACTTCTGCTAGAGTCTCGATTTCTAGGTGGTAATGGTGGCTTGCGTTCAGACTGAAAATGAAAAACGTATCAGTTTAACACGAGCCTATAATTTCAGTAGCTTAGGGCGGCTTAGTCAGTATCAAACAATTTTAATAACAAGCTGGAGAATTGTAAGCTACATATTGGTCTATTTAAGATCTATTTAATACAGGCCTACACTATGGTGTCTGTGTTTTTTTTTGTCAAGACGGGGTATGCACCATCTTTGATATTATACTGTATATGAGTAAGACATGGGATATAGACCTAAGCTACCATGTGTCAACGTAGACAACCAACAGAATAAAGGAAGTTAAACAGAGAATATTATTTGTCCACTCCATGCAAAGGTTACAAGAGTTCAAGAAATCAGTCAGCAGTTAATTTATAATACAGGTTTCAAGATGTTATTTAATATATTTGAAAGGGAAATTTACAGAGCTCCACTTAAACAACCCAGGGGCTGTAAAGGGATAGTAAAAGATGAGAGTAAAAGTGGTAGAGAGAAGAACACACAGTAGGCACACCATGCTATGTAAACTTTCTTAAAAAGAATAATGCAGTATAGTCTAACACAATAGCAATTGCTAAGAGTCTTACGATTGTGATAAGTGTACATATATCACATTTATGGCAAAAATTTTTTGTAATAGTCTATGAGAAATGCGGGCCAGGTGTTCAGAGTACACATGCCCTATCAAATAGAATATTATGTCGAGCACCTATAACAGAAATATCAGCTAATGGTAAAAAGTTATAAATACTGATATTTGGAACAGAGATGCCTAAAATTTGAAATAAACAAACACGGTGTCTCACTGTTCCATTGTCGCCATTTTCTTTCACTATAGAGCAGTATGATGGAGGAACTAGTTCGGAGGTGTAGGATACTGTGCTGTCCGTACTAATTTTACGATGATGTAAACCATCTCCACGTGGCGTTGACATCAACGATTGTAAGTGTTCACAAACTCTTCTGAATCTTCTAGACGGGCCTGAAAATATTTAATATTTAAGTTAGAATAGAATATTAAAATTTGCACCCTACTTTTCAGCAACTTGGCTATAAGCAATGGCATGAACTATGGAAAGAAAAAACAAGTTAGATTTTTAATTGTTGAGGGATTTCTTATAGGCACAGCATTAAATACATGTTCTTTTTTCATGATTTTTTTGTGCATGGTAGATATCATGACCATGTAGCCATGTAGATGCAAAAAAATAACTTTATATGAAATGGCTAAAACCTTTTTTGAGATATTTTTCATTAATTATCCACACAGAAGTTTTAGATAATACTATGACTATAAAAAGATTCAGATTAACAGCATAGAATTATGGGATTAAAGAAAAACAAAAGCCATATAATTTAATGGAATTGTAGTACAAACCTGAGATGAGTGTAAAAGTAAGACAAAAGCTTGTAGCTGAGGTAACATCGCGTTCTCCTGGTGCTGTACTAATATCAACCTGAAACCTGACATTCCGAGAAAACATAGAGGAACTGCCACCACGTCGATATTCAGCACGGAACGTCATTGTAGATATCACACTATGACTGAGATCAGAAGTCTGGAAATCAAAACATTAGATTACTTTTAGTCAGCTCCTTGGAAAAGATTTTTTTTGCCATCGTTATTTGTCGGTGATTAAAATCTCCAATGTGCACACACTTTCACAACAGGATGATCGCATTGCCATCTCGTGAAAAGACTCTAGTTTAAGACAAGAATTGTCCATGTGCCCTCAGCTTAACTCATTGAGCCTCTGTACAAATAAAGGAATTGATTTATTGATCTAAATAATACTTACAGAAAGGAATGCATGTACTAAATCTGCCTTAACTTGATTAAATGTTTTATCTCGAACCATCATAAAATGATGTTCTTGTTCCATACCCATTAAACCACCAAACCATGATCGTTTTGCCATTCTATAAGGTAAATATAGAGATCAGGTCTTAGTTTAGTACAGTAATGTTACTTTTCTTACATGTCAATATCTTCAGAGCAGTGAATATCAACTGTGAATAAAATTCTACAAAAAGCTAGCAACGATTTTCAACATCTAAACTTTGGTGTTTTGGTCTTGTATCTTGCAGCAGATGAGCCAAACCTTAATAATTTGGATGTATTATGTCTGAAGTGATAATAACAACAAGTGCTCTAAAAAGATTAAGAGATCCTTGACCTTCTCCAATTTCATCACAATTAAGGTCCAAGACTCTAACCTGAATTATGGCTTACTCAATAACTTCCTTCCTGGTGCTTTTTCTAGAAAACTTATCTTAAGATGAATTAGTCATCTGATTGGTTGAACATATTTTAAAATCAGGACTTTTTCTTCGTTAGTATTTTGAGAATAAGATCAAAAAGTGACTGAGGCATTAAGGATAGTAAAGATTTTACAAGTGAAACTTACTCTGGTGATTCTGGTAACATGGAGATATCATCAGATGTTGGAACTGAAAGATAAATTAGAAAGAAATTTCTTAAAAAGTTGCATGGTATTCACAAAAATTCTTATTTTATCAGACACATGGAAATTTGCTATGAAAATATACAAAATACATGTCCATTACTTATAAGAATCAGAAATGAATGGTATAATATGTATAATGAGCAAGTTAACAATATTGTTTGTTAGAATATGATAATAAAAATGCACTATTGTGTCAGTATAAGGAAGCTTGAAAGTTCATATTCCTTATCATCATCATGATTTAGAGTTCTGTTACATGCTGCCTCTGTCAATAATTGGGTCATGTTCTAGGAATTTGTAAATGGATCAATTGATTGCACGCCAGCAAAAACAGCAGATCAGAGGCCTCGACAACAAAACATGTTAGCAATATGGCAGCTCATGTAACTAGTACATGTAGTTCTTTTAGATTCCATTACTTCAATTTTTCTCTCTAAGAAAACTCCACAAGGAAGATGAATCACATGTTAAAGGATTGGCATTGTATTACTTTTACACAAGAAAAGTGCCAAATGATGTTAAGGTATTAGACAGAGGTCGTAATAGCTCTCTAAGAATGATCAATGACCTCACCAGGATTTAAATATATATCTGACAAATGATAGACATAGACAATTTGGGAAAGATTGTTATTGAAAAGAGCAGGCAGACAGATAAGATCCAGATTTGGGTTAAGTCCATGCTATGATTTGGTTGGCTAAAGTTAGGGAAATTGACGTCAAATATGAGTCTTCTGTATTGATAAGTGAGTTTGCAGAATGCATTCTTTGAAATGGATTGCTTTGAGCAGGAATTCAGGCTATGTATACACCATGCCATGCATTCATATAAAATCTCATAGGGGGAATTTTCTTTCGAGAACACAGTTGTGCAGTTAACAATTGACTGTGGGATACAACAACTTTACTGGCCTTTCTCTCCTTTATAGTATATATATTGGTGCAAATACAACATTAACGTTTATTTAATATGTTGTGCACAATCTTACAACATTCATATTATTCTAGATATCAAATAGTTAGGGGAAGTTATGGTCATATGTCAAAGGCAGTTGATATTACATGTATGAAAACATGTATTATATCTGATGATATCTAAAGCACTATCCTCTTTGTATTATTAGTGTAAACCTACTATTTTTGTAATTATCTTTGAAATAGTATATAGAGAAGTAAAGATCAAAGCCAAAGCTGTCATTTATTAATCAAATCTTTCAGAATTGTCAAACTCAACATGCCATATCCAGTAGACGCTTGTCCCTTTTAAAATGCCTAAACTTGATGTTCATGCTATAACTCCCATGCCATGCCATGGTTGCTTAGCAATAAACATTTAGAATCACCTGCCAGATACTCCATTTCAATATATTCAGAATGGCCGTTGGTTAGAGGTATACCTTGCATCTTGCGACGATGAAATCGCGGTGAACCAAGGAAGCTGTTTTTAATGGTATGTAGTCTTGATTTCCAGGGTGTTGCTTGGATTCCTGGTGAGCCAGGCGGCGTTGCTGAAGGACTGTGTGTTGGGGTACATCGATGTGGTAATTTCGGACTGGATAATGGAGAACTTCCAGGACTTGAACTGAAGCTGGCTTTCCGTCTGAAATCAAAAACAAACCTTTTTCAAATTTACCATGAAATTGTATTGTTACCCTGACAACCAGGTGCATAATTAATAACAATTTCCTAAATTTTCTAAAAGAATTAAAAATCTTTGAGGTAAAATTCATCAACCATCACAGAAAATTAAATAGCACAGCCATCTTAATACAATTGTATTTAGATTTACCCAAGTTTTATACATAAAAATAAGAAAACAAATAGATCTTGTGCTAAGGCTTTAAGTGTGTTCTGACAATAAAATAAAAACTTACTACATGTACTAATACAAAAATAATTTCATTTAATAAACAAAGTTTGTGAGTAACAAAAAGCACGATATAAAGTCCATCTTTAAATAAATTGCACATAAATAATATGTATTTGAAGTGGCTACATAGAATTTCTTTTGTGAAAAAATAAAAACAAAAGCTAAAGCCGTACTGAAATAAAATATTCATATGAAAATAAAGTGTACAAGATAAAATGAAAGATTGATGTCGAAAACTAAATGGTGTACAATACGACACAGGAGTTATCTATCTTGACTTACACTTGCTGTACCGCTAGCGCCCTCCTAGATGCTACTGGGGATCCTTCACTGATATTTCCTAGTGATAGTCTTAATTAAAATTTAATTAATCAGAATTAATTACCACTGCATAAATAACAAGTTTCATATTTGCTTCTTAACAATTCTGAGATATTAGTCATTGCCATTTATCACAGTCCTGATGCCAAAATACATGCTAAAAGATTTGAGTTATTATCAACTCTAATTTTCAAGTTTCTTTGAAACAGAAGAAACTGTCACTTTTTCTTTAAATATCCTACAAAACAAATCTCTTAATTTTAATATGAAGTAACCTATAAAGGCTACACTAAAAGAGGTTGTGAAACATCCTTGTATTTTGAACAGAAATTTTATATGATAATATTTCCAGAATGTCATCAAGAAATTAAATAAATAATCATACCTTGCTTGACCATTCAACTGGACTGCATCAATTCTCTTTCTAGGTGGATCAGCTGAAAATTGATCAAATAAATGTTCAATTAAACAGATAATTTTAATAATACAATACTGTGTAAGAAACAGATTAGTGACAGTAAATAAGATATTAAAGTGGCCATAAATAGGATTTCTAAACTTTTTACATGTATAGGGGACACTGAAAGCATGGATTTGCATCATTCCAATTTACAGCCAGATGTATGTGTTTTATGACATTACTATCACAAAGAACTTCAGATATAATTGTCTTTTAAGATACACATGCTTAGTTAACTGACTGAAACTGTCCTCAATACACAAGAAAAGTTTAGTAAACCTCTTTACAATCTCTACATCATATTGGCTAGTGAGTGATCAAAGACTGAACAGAGCTAGAAAATTAACTCAGTTAGTATCTGTTATGATGTACGTTAATATGAAACTTTTGATTCTATTCAATATCTATGAATGAATAATTTCTCAAACACAGTCAAGAAAACATGCTTAGTAACCAATAGGAGTAATTTATTAGTATTATTAGTATTTTGTGTAAAAGACTATATATCAGCCATTGTGGATTTTAAAGTAAGAGTTGGATTGAAACAAAATTTGTGAAAAAAAATATTGAGTTAAGCCAGGTTACAACTCCTAAACTACAAAACCTTTATGAGATGAGAAATAAGGTGAGGGGCAGTGTGTAGAGAAAATAATCAAGGGCAGTAACTCTTGGTAAGGAAGAGTAAAGATTGATGCCTGTCAAAAGGGAAACTGGAACAAGGTGAAATGGAAATATTGGCTAGTTAAGAAAACATCAAAAACGGTTGAGAATATCTAGTGGGCAATAATTAGAAGCAATTTCTTTAATATCTATGCCTGAAAAACTTGAAGATAGTTATCAAAATTGATGGAAATCCAACATAAATGTATATAGAGGTTAAATAGAAACAGCTGATAGAGCACATCTAGTAAGCAAGCTGTAAAAAACTGACACGATTTTATTACCTCCCTTACCTGATTCTGACCTACTGCGTATTTCAAGGTCATCTTCTACGCTGGGATTCCGTAACTTTCTATCTAGCAGTAAAAAATACACAACCTTTTCTGTATTATGTCTGAAAGAAATTGTGAGAAATTGTGTTACTGTGTATTTGAGTGTACAGTCAACAGTTTAGAGCTTGTCAAATTAGGGGTTGGCATATAGACAGCGACAAAAACTTTTCACAAGAGGCTTGCAATATGGATGATTGATTGCTGATAGTTGAAGGAGTTTAATTTGAAGGCCAATGAACTGACTCTCTCAGCAAGGGTAAATAAACTACCTTTTTATTGAGCAATGCCATTTAATTTGGCAACATGGTAGGAAATGTAAAATAAAGGATGTGAACCTGTGGCACCAATATACTTACTTTCTACTCAGTAATTCTGCCACTAACTTGTCTTTATCTTTAAAGCATTGTAAAGAATTCATAGTAGATAAAACATCCGCATCTAAATCTTCTACTGTAGGTACAATAGATGTCTGAAAACATACAAAATATCATTCAACATTTCTATATTGTATGATATATTTTCATTGAAAAGTTGTTTTTTAAAGTTGAAAGCTATTTGTGGACTATAACATATTCCTCAATCAATACAAATAAAAAAAACTATTATATGAAAAAAATGAATATATCATTGTTGAATGAAATAGGTGAATATATTAAAATTTAAATCTTGAAGTAAATGTCCACTAGTTCAGTAGATAAAACAATATTCAATATTTTCTGATTCTCTTCTTTAAGCAAAAGTAGTTTTTAAAAAAATTTAAAGTTGATTTAATTTATAAATTCAGCAGGCTAAATTCAAAGACCTAAATAACAAAGAATTTCTGGTGATTTTAAGTGCAAAATTTGAAATATAACTACTATAATATATAGTCAACTTATAGTTAATGATATAAATAATTCAAAATATTGCCTGTAAATTGATGCATACTTTGATATTCTTGTTTCTAAGACAACAATAATAATTAACAACATACATGTAGAATTGAAAATAAGAAAGTCTTGATTTGGAGGGATGTAACATGCATTAAAGAGATTTTGAGGTACCATATTTACTTGAAAATAGGAAGGGATGTACATGGTACCTGCACATTGCATTCAGTATTAAATGATGAATACATTATTTATAAAGGAGAAACCATCCAAGGGATTAAACAAATACATGCCAGGCGTTCAGAAGAGGATCATGAATGATATAATTATAAGGTATGACGATAGATCTTATAAGTTATGGAAAGTAGCCCCCACTGACTGTGTTCATAATTTACACATGAAAGATTGTACTTTTAAAAAAGTTATTTTTCTATTTGAACATCCACAGTATTCAAATGTATTTGTGTTTAAAAGAAAGAATAAAGGAAATTGATTTCATTTCTAATTGAGTTCCATATTTTAAAAGAGCCTGTACTCGTATTTTTTTCAGATATTCAAAAAAACAAACACTTGAAACATATTGACATAATGAATGAAGAATGTATGATAATCAAAATCTTCAAGCTAAAGCCTTGTACAGGATCTATGTTAAGTAATTAGCAATGTTATGAAGTATACAAGCAATGTATAAAAGTGTTAAAATGAATCACAGTGTGATTTAAGTGCATCATTACTTCAACTGCATGCATGTGTATTATTTTTCAAACATTGTCTTACATTTGACTGTTTAAGTGCAAAGTTAATTTTCAAAAGATTTTCATTTTTGTCAAATCCAAATTTGTATTAATGATATAACAATAGTGAAATAGGGCGTGCAAAGCAAGAAAAGGGGGATAACTCAGAGTGCCAATAGATATAAGGGGAAGTAATCTACCTGGACTATTTGGCCTATAGGGAGTTCTAATTCTATGTGGCCTTGTGCCTCCCTAAAAGAAATAAAATGAAAACAATTACAAAACAGTAGACAATATTTATTTCTTACGATAAATAAAAAGGGAAACAACTCTGTCAAAAAGTTACCAAATTTAACAAAGTTGAGTTAGAGCACAGCATCATCATATCAAAAATTAAAAAAAAATTCCTAATATTTTCTAAATGTAGATTTGAAGCGAAGCCAAAGTAAAACTGTTCAAACATTTTGTTTGTGTCAATATTTTATGATTTTGATGATGCCTTTAACCTTCACATTTTCAATAATTGATCATGAAACAAATTCTTAAGTAATTTGCATAACAATGACCGTAAAAGGAAACATATAGGACATCTAAACATCTAGATCCATTGTCAAGGACATCATGATTACATCACCAATGATTGACAGTCAGTATAGACCAATCAATGAAAGGTATAATGTAACCATGGCAACTGTTGCTATAGAGATACCTGAACAACTTGTGTCATTGGTAGTTCCGTTTCTATTTCATGTTTAACGCCCCTAAAAGAAATGTCTGTTATTGGAATGCAATAGTGAAACAAAGTTCCCGATTTAAAAAGGTCAAAGCATGAAGGTCAAGGACAAAAAAAATGCTCGAATGAAGACACATATACCACATGATTATAAGATCCATTTAGACAACATTTCTGAAGTTAAGCATTATCTCATGGCAATGATAGGTCTATTCAATGCTCTTCTTTACCAGCAGTATCTCCTGTTTCCTGCTGTTATACGAATGGGCAGAATTATTAAATTAATGAATGAAAAATATTGTTGATGCTGAAGAGTGAAACAACTTGGAATCTTAGTAGGGCCAGAAATTTGTCAAGAGAAGCTCACAGACAACATTATATGTTAAATGATTAGTAATTTGAGACTGTAGGGGCTAAATGTGACCAGCAGTAGTTCAAGGGATCAATGCCCCACATAGAAACATCACTGATGATGAATAAGTACTTTATGTTTCTCAAAAATGGGATAAATTTGAATAGCCTCCTTAATCAAGCGTAAAATCTCTTAATGGTCAATGTTGGTTATAAAATATTATGCTATCAGTTTCTTTAAAATGATAAACTCATTGATTATAAGTCAGTAAATGGATGAAAACTATGATTGACACTGAATGATAAGCGAAGAAAGAATGGAAACAAGAACTTACGCCACCACCCATGAATGTCTCATCACTTCTTCTAACTGAAAAATAAAATATTACAACCTACTATTCTGCTCTTAATTCAGATTACTATTGTAATCAAACATTTTCAAACATTTATATTTTTAAAAACAAGGTTTCAAATAAATCTTTACCCGAATATATTTTGGAATATATTGAAATCATTGAAAACACTGCTCACAAATTTCAATATGTCATAAAGGATCTTTATGATTGTGAAAACAAGTAGAGGCTTATAGCTAATACTAGTCTTTCATCTTAGTATTAAAGAGCACTTTAGGTTTAGGCAGAAAATAAGGAAGAAGCTGCCTCCTCTGTCTTTAGGAAATTTATGGCTCGAGTAACATCAGAATCAAGTTTGTACTCACTGTAAGACGTTTATCAGGATCTACTTCCACCATACCTCGTAATAAATTTTGACAATCAGGGGGGACAAAATGGGGGATATGAAACACGCCTTTTTTCACTTTTTCTAAAAGCTGCCTTAAGTTATCATCATCAAATGGAAGAGCTCCCTACAAGAATAAAAAGCTGTGGAGTTAGTTGACAAGTAAAACTGGTAACAAATCAGATACATGAGATTTTTTTTTTCTATGTTCCATTACGTCAGCCATTAATCATTAATGTAAGTAATTAAGAACATTATAATTACCACTAAGAGAGCATATAATATAACACCACAACTCCAAACATCAGCCTTTCTACCATCATACTTCTCTCCCTGTAAAAAAACAACACATACCCAACCATTATTACTTTGTTCATTTACAGGGACAAATGCGCCATTTTCTTTGACCAATCATACTTTACTCTCAGAATGTTTTTTTTTTTAGGCTAAGCCATTCAGTAATTACGATCACAGCTGTAAATTTGTGCCTGTAAATCCATGTGTGTCCAGATTCCAGAATTATCTGTGTTTGAAGTTTGAATGTTAAAATAATGATTAACATAGAAATTGTGAGAAAAGTTCCTAGTTTGGAGTATTTTTATAGGAATTCTTTGATTTTTATACTTTGCTAGCACTTCTGAAGACTACTTACACATATACAAAACTAAAATCCCCCCAAACAGGCACATCTGCCAGTTTTAAGGTTATAAAAATTGAAAGCCTTAAAAGCTTAAAGAACCCTTTTAAATCTGATCAGCTTGATCTAAGATATAATTTCTAGAAATAATAAACAGCACATTATCTTGCTGAATATTTATGTTTTCTGATTTAGCATGAAGTGTAAGACTTTCTGCTGTTACGGAAATAAAAGACCATTGTCAAAACCATTTTATGCTCGATCATCAGCCAAATAATCACTTATTTTTGTACAGGTAACAAATTTAACAAAAGTCTAAAAACGTGTTTGAATATCGAAATCACGTGCAAAGAATTTGATGTTCATAAAAGAGTAGGATTATGTTCTTCAGAGAATTTTGAAGTAAGAGAAAAGCAGAGTTAAGTCCCTTTCCTTAAAGATTTTTAATCTTTCAATAATATGTCATTTTAATCATTCAATACTGTCATTTGGGACACAATGAAAAAAAAATATTTGAAATATTTTAATGTCTGAACTTTGAAAGAAATTTTGTCTTCTCTAAAGGAATTTTAATGATAGAAAATGAGATGAGAAATAAGAAATCCTTATATACATGTTTTGTGAGTAACATTTCAGGTCTGCAGGCATTATGGAAATTTAATCCTAATGAAAGAATACAAATCCTTCGACAAAAAAAATCATCCGATATTTGGTCAGGTACAATTTTACATCTCTAAATAAAGCCACATTGTGTGAGTGCTGAGCACTGTCTGTAAAAAATATGTTGTATCTGCAAGCCCAAGGTGATATATTACACAATAACTTGATAAATAGTGGAAATGTCATACAATATCTCACAAACAACAAATAAATTAAACTTATATAAAACTTATATAAAATCAATGCAAAAAATAATTACATGCTAAACACAAAATAATTTGCAATATTCTAAAAAAAAAAACACACATAAATTAGAACAAAAACAACAATTTTATGTAATGGGAGAAGTGGATTTCATGAGTACAACATTTCAACAATTTACATTCTATCAGTCTACCTGATGATGATGTAAATTGTTGAAACATTTTTCCAAAATAAAAGCCAGGAGGTATACCTGATAATAACAATGTAAAATGCAGAAACATGGTATGGGCATTATTTCATTTGATTTCCAATGTTAAATGCAATTAAATTATAAACTGAACAAAAACAAAACAAAACAAAAAAAGTTCTAAAAATCATTAAAATCAAGCCACAATATTAAAAAGTTTACGTTTCTTTCATCATATCTTTTAATTGTAACTTACAGAAACAAATTAATCAAAATATTACATCAAAAATAAACTTGTAATCAATTTAAAAACAAACAAAATATGCAAAAAACATCAACTCGTGCTCTAGGCTTACCCGTATCACTTCCGGACAAGCATAATGTGGAGACCTGGAGACATAAATAGCAATAATGAATGAATATTTAATTGAATGAAATAATTGACTGTATGAATGAATGTTTAATTGAATGAAATAATTGACTGAATGAATGAAAATTTAATTGAATGAAATAATTGACTGACAGAATGAATGTTTAATTGAATTAAATAATTGACTGAATGAATAATTATTTAATTGAATGAAATAATTGACTGTATGAATGAATATTTAATTGAATGAAATAATTGACTGTATGAATAAATGTTGACTGTATGAATGAATGTTTAATTGAATAAAATAATTGACTGTATGAATGAATATTTAATTGACTGAAATAATTGACTGACAGAATGAATGTTTTATTGACTGAAATAATTGACTGTATGAATGAATGTCCAATTGAATGAAATAATTGACTGAATGAAGGAATGTTTAATTGAATGAAATAATTGACTGTATGAATGAAAGTTTAATTGAATGAAATAATTGACTGTATGAATGAATGTTTAATTGAATAAAATAATTGACTGTATGAATGAATATTTAATTGAATGAAATAATTGACTGACAGAATGAATGTTTAATTGAATTAAATAATTGACTGTATGAATGAAAGTTTAATTGAATGAAATAATTGACTGACTGAATGAATGTTTAATTGAATGAAATAATTGACTGTATGAATGAAAGTTTAATTGAATGAAATAATTGACTGTATGAATGAATGTTTAATTGAATAAAATAATTGACTGTATGAATGAATATTTAATTGAATGAAATAATTGACTGAATGAAGGAATGTTTAATTGAATGAAATAATTGACTGAATGAAGGAATGTTTAATTGAATAAAATAATTGACTGACTGAATGAATATTTAATTGAATGAAATAATTGACTGAATGGAGGAATATTTAATTGAATAAAATAATTGACTGACTGAATGAATATTTAATTGAATGAAATAATTGATTGAATGAAGGAATGTTTTATTGAATGAAATAATTGACTGTATGAATGAATGTCCAATTGAATGAAATAATTGACTGACTGAATGAATATTTAATTGAATGAAATAATTGACTGACTGAATGAATATTTAATTGAATGAAATAATTGACTGAATGAATGAAGGAATGATTGTTTATGTGAACTTCAATGATTAAATGTATATCTAAGAGCATGGAATAAGTTAATAACTATATGAATGATTGAATAAACGTTTAATTGAATGGAATAAGTGAAATGAATGAATGAATGGAATAAGTGAAGTTGAATATCTACATGAATGAACGAAAAGAGCCCATTGAAAATTTATTCAAAAAGATGAAAACACGGTCAGAATGAACGGAAGAAAGACAAAGCCCTGGAAGTTTTTCATATGTCTACGATTGAGTCTTAAGTCTTTGACCCAGTCAGCGAAATGGCTGCTTATAGATTTTCTTCTCTTTCATGATGAAAATATCAATTCAGTTTTTTAGTCTTTCAAGAATCGAAAAACACAATGTTCTGTTTAACTAACTAACATCTGTCTAACATGTAATGTATGTGTACTAGGTTATAACACTGTGTGTAATATGAAAGTGCACACGATATAAATGTTATGGTCTCAATTTTTCTGGTTTACTTATCTTTATCTGATTATAGAATCAGTTTTTATATTTCAGATGAAATTTGATCAGATAGAAGAGCAGAGTTTAACTTCTTCAGTAAATATAAAAAGAAAACTTGTTTTATCAGTGAAAAAAATGACTTATATCTTACTACAGAAGATATACTGCAGTGAGATACTTTAATTTTCAATTCAATTGATATCTAGATATATTAAAATAAAACCTGAAAGATGTTTTTACTAAGAAATCATGCTGTTTGACCTTCACACAACTGATCTTTTTGTCCTGTGTTTTTACTGAAGTTTTGCTTGTGTCTGCATTTCGAAACCGGCAATGTGACCTATATCAGTGGTTGATTCTGAAAGGGGCAGTATTTTCATTTTTTTCAAAAAAACCCCAGAATATTCCTTTGAGGATGAGCTCTTTCAACTAGCAGCTAGTTAGAAACCTCACAGAGCCAAACAATTCTGAAGGCAAGAAAAAATCCTGGAATTTCGAAAAATCCTGCAATTGTAGACATTTTAGACGCTAAACTCTTCCAAAAATCATTGAAATTTTTAGCTCAATAATATTCCAAAGTATTTAAAGGTCTTATAATGTAAGCCAAACTTCAAGAACATTTCAGTAGGTTATTTAGATTTTAGTCTACACATAAAATTACCACGACCCCTGAGGTCATTTTCTAATAGTTTTTACCTGTGGGAGATACTATAATTAGAATTTCACTAAAGTAAAAGTAGAAAATACCATCTGGTTTTCAATATGATATCATCTTTAATCTAAACATATGGCGAGACATTTTAAAATTTTATATCAGGAAGGAAGAGAATTGGCTTGAGACTTGGCTTTAGAAAGGAAGAGACATGGCTTAAGAAAGGAAGAGACTTGGCTTCAGAAAGAAAGAGACTTGGCTTTAGAAAGGAAGAGACTTGGCTTTAGAAAGGAAGAGACTTGGCTTGAGACTTGGCTTTAGAAAGGAAGAGACTTGGCTTGAGACTTGACTCTAGAAAGGAAGAGACTTGGCTTTAGAAAGGAAGAGACTTGACTCTAGAAAGGAAGAGACTTGGCTTTAGAAAGGAAGAGACTTGGCTTGAGACTTGGCTTTAGAAAGGAAGAGACTTGGCTTGAGACTTGACTCTAGAAAGGAAGAGACTTGGCTTTAGAAAGGAAGAGACTTGGCTTGAGACTTGGCTTTAGAAAGGAAGAGACTTGGCTTGAGACTTGACTCTAGAAAGGAAGAGACTTGACTCTAGAAAGGAAGAGACTTGGCTTGAGACTTGACTCTAGAAAGGAAGAGACTTGGCTTGAGACTTGACTCTAGAAAGGAAGAGACTTGGCTTGAGACTTGACTCTAGAAAGAAAGAGACTTGGCTTTAGAAAGGAAGAGACATGGCTATAGAAAGGAAGAGACTTGGCTTGAGACTTGACTCTAGAAAGGAAGAGACTTGACTCTAGAAAGGATGAAACATGGCTATAGAAAGGTGGAGACTTAAGAAGGAGACTGTTTAGAAAGGAGGAAACTTAGCTTTATAAAAGAGGAAACTTGGCTTTAGAAAGGAAGAGGCTTGGAATTGACAGAATGAATGAATAATGGGAATGGATGGATGTTCAAAATGATCATAATAGAATATGAAAACGTCTAGTATTTGTAGTATTATCTTACGTGGGCAATGAAAATGACTAATATATGCTTGAGGAAATGAATAAATGAATGAGTGTATGAATGAACTATGATGATAATAAGTCACTGGATGAATAAATAAATGTATTTTGATTAAAATAATTGAATAACTGTAATATTAGTGAATGAAGTTGATGAATTAATAAATGAAATGAATGTTATATATCTTTTCTTTTTTTTCCAAAAGCCTGAAATTTTAGTACAAAAAAGCTCAATACGTACCCGCAGCTTGTTTCTAACATGGACCCTTCAACCTGTAATGACGCCATTCCGAAATCTGCTACTCTGATATTATTCTTTTCATCTAGTAATAAATTCTCTGGTTTTAAATCACGATGGCTGAAGATAAAGATAAAATATAACATCAATTTCAGTAATTACAGTGATGAAGGGCAGTCATGTTGCCATACCATAAAATATAAAACCAAATATTTCAAAACAGAAAATTCTATGAAACGTTTTTGATCTAAATTTTGACTGATATTATGTCTTAGAATGAAGAAGCATTATTAAAAATCTGGTCAAAAACAGAACACATTCCGAAAAAACTCTCAAAAAAACAGAACTCATGATGTAAAAACACGCTTAGTACATTATGCAAAATTTATACTCACCATATATTGTGGCTATGGCAAAAGTCTAGAGCAGATATAATTTGTCGGAAAAATCTTCTTGCTTCTTTCGGCGTCAGGCGTCCTTTTTTAACGAGGTAATCAAACAATTCTCCACCAGAAACATGTTCTAAGATTAAATATCTGGAAGTAAAATGATGTGAAATTAAACCATTTGGAAACACTAAAAGCTTAGAGAGATTGTAAGCTTAAACAGATTGTAAAAAAGTTTTCTAAACTCTATGTGTATCGAGGACACTGATAGCATCAATTTGCACCATTCCAATTTTCAGTCTATGGTACCTGCAATTCCACTAAAACTAAGTGTCTGATGACGGATACTATCACAAAATCTGGTAAAACATTTAAGTTTAAGTGAAATTGAAAGAGACATCTGACTGAAAATTGATAAGGTGTAAAAAGTTGCTAACAGTGTCACTGATACACATAAAAAATTATAAAAAACTATTTACAATCCCTTTAAATTAAGTAAGAGGAATGTATATAAAGGAATGCTAAGCTGTCTAGCTTTAAAATATCTTATTGTTGAAGTTGAACATTGAAATCTACTTCAAAATTTAGATCAATGATTTAATGTTTCTTGCAGAGGAGTAAATAGGATGAATTTATAACAAATGTTGGTCAGGTTGACCAAGGTCAAATTCAAATGTTTTCAAATTCATGAATATTGACAACTGGAAAATAAAATGCCCAATTGTAGCTATAATTAAAGTCTATCAGTTATATAAGGTACACCTTAAACCCTGAATTCTAATCCTGAAGTTTAATCCTAAACTTAAATCCAGAATAAAAGTTAATCAATTACAACATTTCATGTTTGCAAATGACAGAAAATCAAAATCAATGATTTACTGACCATTAAAATCTTTTTTAAAACAAACGTTCGCTTTTTTCCCCAAGAAATCCCACTGAACAGAAAACAATTTTGGTATAGCCTTAGCATAATTCTGAAGATTTTCTAAAATAGCTGTTTTTCATCTGAGTTTAGCAGATTTTTTCTAAAATAGCATTGAAGGTTTAGAAGGAAAAATTGAAAATAGAAAGGTAAACTCAGATCTTGCACCTTCCTACAAGCAGAGCAGCATTGTTTGTCCACATTGTTTAGTACTTAAAACTAAAAGAACTAGTTGGTAGAATGAAAACTAGATATTAATACTAGCCTAACACCATATATCACTTCCAACCATCTAGTCTTGTCATTAAAATTGACAACTCATTGGAACATTGAGATTCCACTGACACTATACATCCTCTTAGAGAAGTACAACAATAAAGATAATGGTCTTAAAATAACATTTCCACTCAATAGATTCAATTTGAAAAGATATAATGTTTTTAACTTTAAAACAAGTTCAATAACTGTAATTTTCTAGTTTCCAGGAAATAGGTTATGGAAATATTCACTTGATTTCTTTCCACTTTTCTTAATGATAATTTAGAGCTGTCAAAAACATTGCATCAATAATATTTATAATCACATGATATTATACATTAATTGGTTGATGTTATGGCAGTGATAATATTAACTAATCAGTAGATTTTCTACTTTCTGTATTTTAACTCGATACATGACTAGTAGGTGAAAATTTTCTTGTCCAAAGAACTAGTTTCTCTGAAACAACTATGAGTTTTTTGAAAAGAAAGAACAAGATCGAGACAACTCTTAACTGTAAATAAATTTCTAAAATAAACCACAGAAATAATGATCTTCTAACTAATAATCATTTTAAACTTTTCCTGATAAAAACAGGAGTGTTAACTGTATTCCTACAGGATGCTGCTTCGAAAAGGTGATAATATAGAGCGGAATGGATATTACACAAACTGTCAAGGGATGGCCACAAGATGGCTGCCTAATGGAGGTAGTTACTAAGGACAAATAAAGAAAATAAGAATACCAGGAAAGGCCTACACTTTTCCTTTGACTAACAATACAATATGTAATCAAAATACAGATTCAACTGTTTCCTTATGAGTTTTTTCTGTGGGTTTAAGCAGCACTACATTCGCAATCTTTGGATTGATCATTATTCTTCATGAAATCTTATTTTGGCCATGGTTCACCATTTTTGGATTACTAGCTAGATGTGAACACTACTACTGATTAGCTTAGCTTAAAAATTCCTGTTTCTTAGACTAAGGTACGATTGGTCAAATGAATGGCAAACCTGTCCTTTTAACAATTTGAAATTTTGTTCATGCTTGCTTATCATGTTTGCTTATCAATGAAATTTTGTTCATGCTTGCTTATCAATGAAATTTTGTTCATGCTTGCTTATCAATGAAATTTTGTTCATGCTTGCTTATCATGTTTGCTTATCAATGAAATTTTGTTCATGCTTGCTTATCATGTTTGCTTATCAATGAAATTTTGTTCATGTTTGCTTATCAATGAAATTTTGTTCATGCCTGCTTATCAATGAAATTTTGTTCATGCCTGCTTATCAATGAAATTTTGTTCATGTCTGCTTATCAATGAAATTTTGTTCATGCCTGCTTATCAATGAAATTTTGTTCATGCCTGCTTATCAATGAAATTTTGTTCATGCTTGCTTATCAATGAAATTTTGAAGCAAGAATAACTGCGGAGTAAGAATGAAGCTAGACTATATAATAGTATACTGTAATGTAATTTGTATGCTAAACACTGTCAGTAGAAGGCGTAGAGAGAGGTGAATGCAATGAATATATTACAACTAGTAATAATCAATGTCCTTTTCATTAGACTATCTCATCAAAAAACTCTTTTCTTTCTCTTTCTTAAAGGAATACTAACTCTTAGAATGGACATACGATTTCAAGTCTTGGTCAATAAGAATATATATTCATCAGCTGGACTTAGCCGGTGCCATGACTAAAGAAAAGTATTCCCCTAAAAAAGGTGCATCTGCATAGCAATCATCAGATGTATATTGTTGCGATAAGAATAGCTGTCATAAGTTTCAAACACAAAACTTATTCAACTGAGCGCTTTGCAACAATAAGCAACTAAAATTGCTATGGTTAAGAGTGAAGAAGTTCCTAAAAACTTCTATGTAAAGCACTGGCCAAGGTCACAAATAAAGAGATAAATGTTCAATACAAGATAAGGTGAAGTTAGCATAGTTAGTATTAAGTTAAAAAAACAACCACGAGTAATCTACAATAAACAAAAGTCTATAATATGAAAGTTTTCTTGTTACCAGTTCTAAATATGGTGTGACGCCCCCTTTAGAGTAAAAGATTAAAATCCATACTTACAAATATTTTTTATTTTCATACACATCATATAATCCTAACACATGTGGATGTTCTATTAACTTCATAATGGCTATTTCTCTCTCCACCTGTAAATATATTCAATTAAACACTCAATAAAATCAGAATTTGAACAATTTTACACTGAGATAAAATAATTTGAAGGACTATAACTATATGAATATAATAAAATGTGTATGTAATTATTTTGATCATTAGACTTTCACTCTGAACGGCGCTTTAATTTCTAATGTAGAGCTTTACCAGTTGACCTAACAATTCACTAATAGTAAGGCTGAGTACCTGTGAATAGATGTGATGCTGTGTTTGATGTAATGTACAATGCAAGAGTATCAAAACAGTAGAAAAAAAAAACAACAAAATCCAATGAATCTACATTTTGTGGTGACCATTACTATTAATGGTTAAAGAAATGGCTTTAAATTTGGTACTGATCAAGACCATTTTGGTATAATTAGCCTTGATCACCTCTCTACATCCAGAGAAAATCTCCTTTACTAAATCTACTTGTGACTAGAGAGCAATCAAGTATGGCCTTCAACTCGAGACAGAGCTGAATATAAAACAGATGTCTAAAACCAGAATCTTATCTTTACTGTGTAATTCAATTAAATTCTACCAAGTCTTTTCCACTGTACAACAACTAATCAAATTAATTTTCCTTGCAAATTTTAAAACTTATATCAAAATCAATTTCTTTAAAACAGAGATTCCAAAGCAATAGTAATAAAATTGAATAATAGTAGAAGATCTGTCTCAGGCAATTACTGATCTTATTTCTTCATGATCTCTTTTATACGTTAACTTAGCTTATCACAAACAAAAATGTTACCTAAAATTGAAGAATTGAAGTGAATAGAAATAAACTATGGAAGAACTTTCTCAAACATAACAGAAAATAAAGTGAAATATGAACATATTGTAGTAAAAAAATACAATGCAACTAGACAATTATTATCCAGAAGATTTATTATGAAATTATTGGTAATTCCTCTTGAAATTTCATGATGGTACAAGATTGGTCTATTAAAATAATTTAATTCTATTTGACATCTAAAATGTCCTTAAGCACAGGCTGTGGCAAGTTTATTATAGTGTAAGAATTGGACCTCATTTGCCTGGTTATGCTGATCAAATGGTCTTGTGAGTTCTGATAGTCTTTGAACAAGCATCTTTCTTCACTGTTCTGTAGACCCAGATGTAAATAGGAGTAGATAATCTGGAAAAGATCATAGCTAAAGGGTTTGGTCAAGATCCAGCTGGTTGAAAGGATCCACAATGGATGTTTCTTTCTGTCTTTTACGAAGTAATAAGGTGGTTTGGTCCAGTGCCCTGAATATCTGTAGAAACACATTAAGACTTATTTATAACTATATCGTAGGCTCCAAGACAATTAATTTCCGAGACATTTTATTTACGATCAGTTTATCTTCAGTCTGTCCAATTGGAATCAATACAATAGTTAATGTTATTCAAGATAATATTACTGTTTCTAATTAGACTGTGTTACTTGAGTTCTTCTTATATAATAGTTTATTCCTGTGTGGTTTCTCTACTGAATAATATTACCCATATCAAATCAAATGAAGATTTTAGTTCTGCTATTCTGTAAAGGAGCATGGATGGCAGCAGTCATAGCATAGCTCAAGGCTACAAATACTTTATCTCAAATCTCAAAAATGAAAAAGGGGTACATTAGGGGGTACAAACTAATTTTCTGGGTTTCCCCCACCTCAACCTTCCAGTGTGACCACTGTAAGGGAAAAAGATATCTAAATATTTGCCTATCTTCTAAAATTAATATCTGAAATTCCTCTACAGAAAGGTATTATTTTTACTTCTGTAAGCAGTAATATCTACTCATGATAATGTTATAAATAACACCTGTTATGACAGTCTGAACATGAATAATATGATTTCCTTTAATTGTCTAAAAGCTAGACATCTGATTATGTTCTGAAAAAGGATACAGATAGCTAAAATTGAGATGTATCATAATAAATAAAAGCAAAGACATCTATATATCTCTTTCCAAGTTTTCATGCTGCTGTTATTTATTTTTTTTTCTTCTATTCCACTGATTTGAAATACTGAAATGGTGTATTTGACAAGAAAATCATTGGAGAGTATATTATACTGAAGAAAGTGAAGAGAAACAGAGAGAGATATTGTGACAGAATATTGTAATATATAGAAATAATAACAATAATTTGACATCAAATAACTCAATAATTCAATCTTCTAACTTTTTATAGAGAAAATTTGTTGATTTGGAGGTATTCCACAAGTTTTCTTTTGCAGTTCATAATCAATAATCAAATTTTGCAATAGCAAGAGATTGTTCTACTGTAGTGGAATGTATGAATTGCAAAAATACTGTTGCTATAAGCCTGTAGAATTTCTGACACGAAATGTTAAAAAAAACTTTAAACACATAATAGATCTCAAGATATTGACAAGTATAGTCTCACTTTCAATTTATTTAGAAATATTGATTAAATAAGTTTAATATTTCTAATCTTCTAAAAAAATATACTTCAGAAAGCCACGGGGATTATTTTATATTGATTAGTCTTGGTTGGATAAAAAATCATCAAACACATACAAGTCTCAAATACAGTCTACAATGCCTTCAGCCAGTACTGATGCTTTATATCAACCAGCATTGTCTCACTGAAACTAGGTAAATCTAATTTTTCATTGCAGCTTATGTCATATTAGAGCTAAGCTAGGGTTTTCCACTTTCAGCAACGAAACTTTTATTTTGTCTATAACAGTTTTCTACATGGTGGTTTCTAAAAACATTCCCAATAACACACTTCATGTCTGATTTCCATGACACCTGATGTCCAATCCAAGTTAAAATGAGGCATAGAGGGTTTTAGTTTGAACATATAATTGAAAAAAAAAGACACTTGTTAAGTTTGGTCATCCTTTCAAAGAGAGGAATTTGACTATATCTTGCTATGGCCAAGTAAATAACTCTACCCTAATCTTCTTTATTATTTTACCTTAGTTCACGTAATAAAATATTTCATTTTATTTAATGATGACACATGTAACTTGTGTTAAAATGATATGTGCTTGTGTGCTCTCCACTACTAAATTGTATTCAAATCTTTGTTATTTTTGTATTTTGTAAATCCAATCACATCTTCAAGTTCATTGTCCAATCCTATGAGTCAGGACATACTGAATATCAATATAAGTAGAATAACTAACCAAGGTAGAAGAGTGAATGTCACTATGAATACGAATCCCTCCAGGCCTAAATAATGGGAAATAATATGATACCAAGGATTCAATTTGAACGCTGATTCCAGAGTGACCTTCATCATTAGGATAAATGCCAACGAATTTAGCATTTGACTTACCAAGAGAATAGAGCAATATGATAGTCTCTGAGGCCATTGATCTGATGTAAAATTTCATGTCATGGTTGCAGGCGAGCAAAACCAACATAAAAAACTTTGACCATGATATAACAAAACGTTAGCTAATTGGTTAATGTCTGATATAACATTTTGTGTCATGGTTAGAGGCAAATAAAACCCAGATAACAAATTTTAACCGTGAAAGTGAAAGTGAAAATGTTAGCTATTGGGGGAAAATGTCACCAGATGATATTGTTCATCAAGGTGACATATTTATAGTTGGAAAGAAAGACAAAAGATTATTCAGCACTGGTCAAGGGCATTAATTGTAGTACATCCCAAGGTCTTTTATTGTCATTAAAATAACAGAATCAGGAAAATTATGATTGTGTTTTAATCGTAATAATAGGAAGCGAGTCTGATTGTCTTTCTTAACCTCTCAATTAAGGCATTTAGATTAAAAACATGATATCCAACAAAAAGTAAAAAGAGAGAAAATTGCATTGTAAGTAGTATGTGTTGTTGCCCTCACAAAGCGAATGCAAATGAATATTTCTATATCAAAATAATGATATTGGCCTAGATCAGCTTTTTGCCGATCTTATATCATTTATATTGTTTTAGGGAAAGCGCAAAAGTATAAATATAGATTGAGTTAACCAGGTTGTAGGTGATCTCAAGATGATTACTTGTTTTTGAGCACAATGTGAGATAATGGCCTCACTTTATCTCAGGGAAATGCTTGGATCAAGGACAAATATTGGTGGAAAATACCTAAAACTCAGTCAACAGCTTTCAAATGAGATGTTAAATTACCCTGTCCTTTGCCTTCTTGACAGTAATCTTCTTGGTTTATAAGTACTAATCTACACTTCTCTTAATACTACCAATGTAGTAAGTAATAAGGAATAAGAGAAAAGGTTTTGAAAAATTGCATAGATTAACTATCATTCTTAACTTTAGGGGCACCTGTCTCCCTTTAAACAATTGATAGCATCTATCCAATTAAATAATTTGACTGTTACTTTATGGTGTTTCAGCTGTAGGGCAGCTTCTTTATAGAACAAATTACTTGATACCATTAAACTTTCTCCAGCTCTTCTTAAAGACATGGTTGTTAAATCACACCTCAGTTTGGTAAAATAGATTTCTTATTATCATAAAATATAACACGACTCGACTCCTTCTAGAATGTACTATTAAGACTAAATTAATCCCTCACTGACAATTTAATAATAGGAAACTCCACGATTGTCATCTTCACACTTCCTGCTGGAGGCATGCTGGGATATATACTGGACAACTGTCAGTATCACATCTTTATATGACCTTGTGTACTCCCTAGAGCATATTTAGCTCATTATAGAGATTAGATGAGTCAAGACAGAACTTTCTGATACCAGTAAATAACTCATGTTAGTCACAGTTATATTTCACAATTAAACTTATGAAACTTGGCACATTCTATTGTTCTGAGTAATATAAAGTCTAACAAAAACTGATTTTTTTTTTCATATCAGTATAGTATATAGTCCTTTGCTAAGTCTCAGCTTTTGTTTCAAATTTGAAAATCAAAATAAGTACACATTGACAAATACCATAGCAAATCAGAGTTGAGGAGGGGCAAAACTTAATATTTTTTTTAAAATTTTACTCATATCCTAACACATTACACCATCATTTTTTTTAATAACCAAGAACATAGTACTGTACAGATGCCAGGAATTTTAGCTTTACTACTAAATTTTTCAACTTTGGTCACTTTAAAAAAAATATTCTATGAGTTTTAGATCCAAAGAACTGAGTTCCAATTAAAAGCACTCTGTTGGACAGCATGCTCTATCTTTATCAATAGGTAGACTCAAGACAGGAGAGGAGGGCAGGTACTTTCAATTATTCAAATCAAATTTCTTTCAATCCATGATTTTGTCAAGTAACAGAAGTAAGATTAGTGATGTTCACTTTAAGTTCCCTAAGCATCTGAAATTAAAAATTGAGTAGGCGAGAGTAACTGCTGTTTCTGAGAACTAGACTCTACATGGTGTTGTCTATCTTCATTAACCTATCTGAGTACAGAACAGTAGGAGGTAAAGTTCAAATTTTATTTCATTTCCCTAATGTTGATTAAAACCAGACTGAACTCCCTTCAGCAAGTCTATAGGGTGATGATTTATTTCGATAATGATTTGATGGCACAGAAAAACTTTAGAGTAAGGAAATTCAGAGTAAGAATTAATATAGTAAATAGAAGTTACGGCAGTTAAATTTGTATTTTCCATAACTCCAATTCTCTTTTTTTTATTGTGTCAAAGATGTTTATTTAATTGTAGGCAAATTTAAAATGTTAGATTTTAAAAAAAAAAAAATTTGGGTAAAGCTCTTTCAACAGGTGAAGATTTTCTTTTCAACTAATAATGATTGTTTCACAATCTGTGTTGTTTAGTTATGTCTATATTTCATAATAAAGAATGAATCTCCTGAAACAAGCTGCCCTGATAATAATTGTTACATCCAAAACACTAAGAAAGCATCATCACAACAACAGTAATACAAACTTAAATCAGTTAGATTGTTTCTGTCATTTTAATGTGAATGAATGAAATGAATGGAAATGGAATCTAATGTAGACGGGCAATACCATTTGAATGCAGAAGAGTTGGATATAGAATTTCATCTTATTTCTTATGAAGATACAGAGTGGTATGAAGGAAATTTTCATTTCAGCTGTATTATCCCACTCTTTTTCAATTTCTAAATGTCAAGGGATCTTTAACGTGCACAGCCTGTGGCACACATGCCCTTCGTTTAATGTCCCATCTGAACAACTAGACGCTTTTTCCATGTCAGCCCCTCTGACCTGCTGTACTTGGAATGCAGAAGAGTAGGATATAGAATTTCATGATTTTTTTGTCCTTTGAAATCCCTTCAGCAGATTAAGTCAACGTTTTTTTAACATTTTGATAACTTTGGTGCTTAGTTAGATTTCTATATCTTGGAATAGTCAATGAACTCATGCTGCCCTTATAATTAAAGTTATACCCTAAACAAGTGAAAACAGTATCATTATGACAACATTGATACAAGTTTAAGTCAATTAGTATAAAGATGATTATATCCCTAGAGCAGAATTAACTCATTAAAGCTAATAGTACAATGAATACAAATTATCATTGTGTCCATACGGAATAGAGGAATACAGTTCACAGCCATAGAGACATTGTTCATAGATATCAGGACAAATCTTATAGGAGTATTGCAGACATGTATCAATCTTACTGGTCAAATCAACATGTCAGAACTATCGAGACTGTTGTTTCAAGAAATCTCTGGTTTGTCAGAAATCAACAAATTAAACTGATACAGGAGTCCTATCAAAGTATGGGGTCAATGTAAAATAGGGGAATAATAGTTGTATGCAGCCAAATAGTTTTAGGGTATCTGATTATAATAAGCTAAAAACTATTGCGTTACTAGCCAGCAATGCTCAGATATTGAATAAAGAAGCAACATTTCATTACAATAAATCATGTTTATCCATTCAAAAGGGAGCCGATATCTTGCGATTTCTGCAAAATTTAAATACACAATATGAACTATGTGAACTCTCCGTAAAGTAATGCTGAACTGACGAACCAATTCAAAATTAGGTCATATGATTGCAAATAGTTCTACTTGAAATTATATCGTATTTCTGGTATAAATATTTATTTGATCGAAGATTTCTACCAAATAGATATTGACTTCGTAAAAGTCTGGTCATGTCAACAAAATACTTGGATCATTTAATTGCAGATAGTTTTACTTTAAACTATGTTCAATGTCCTGTTTTAATTTTATCCTTTTAAAGATTTCAATCTTGTTAAAGTAATAAATATTGATTTCATAGAAGTCTGGTCATGCCAACAAAATAATTAAATCATATGATTGTACGTTGCATTTTCTGGTCATGTTTTATGACCAAAAGATTTCGATGTTAGTTAAAGATGATCTGTGAACCAGATGATAAAGATCACAAGGTAGTAATAAGATTGTAATAATCGTGTTACATGTTTATCATATAGCTTATTATATCACCATTAGATTACTATACTGCTTCAAGACATTTATATTCCTTACAGGTTTCTATATTCAATTTATATCTATTATTATTCAATATTCTCAACCCAATTTTGCTATAATCCAGAACACAGCCTAATTCATTTTGAAATTGGCAGCAAAAATGTAAGCATCCATGAGTGGAAATATCATATACAATGACAACGCTATAAGTGTTCAGTAAAATTGAACAGAATCACAAGGGTGGCAGATTATACCATTTGAATCATGATTTGCATAGATTCTAAGAACAGATTGGCCAAAAAACCACAAATATTTATTTTTAATATAAATAAAATGTTTTCATGGAACAGAGTTAAAACTCGTCACATTAAATTTTTGGGGAATAAAAAAATATACAGTTCTTGAAATCTATCTTATAGTCTTGGTATATAATTATAATTCTTGGTACTTGATATAAATTTCTTGGTTAATAATTTTTCTGTTTTGGTATTTCATAATAAAAAGAATACAAAAAAAACAAAGAAAAATCCATTATAAAATATTCGATTAAGGCTTTGAATTTCTTTTGATACCAGATATTAGCATCCATGATTTCTCTATTTCCATAAAATATAATTCCAAGGAAGAAATAAGTACTATTTTGAGATCACATTATTAATGCCGAGGGAGCCACTTGTCTACCACTCAAACTGAGAAAATCTCCCAAAATATATCTAATGAGCTTAAGTCAGTTTAAATCACGTCAAAGTCATCACAATATCACACTGAGCTCATAGTGTTAGTAGTCTCTTACAGTCCAGATAATTACTTGACCTTCATCTGAGAAAATTACTGTAGTCTCTATCAATCTAGACAATAAGTTGAACTTCAACTGTGTAAAATTATTCTGGTCTTTGACATGTCAGAATGGTGTCTACATATTCATCATTGCTATTTTGATAAGAACGTTTTTATATTTGATGCAGGTTCCTTTTTGTTTAACATGGGACCATAACTTCATATCAAGTCAACCTTCCAGCTGAGGACATTGGCTGCTGTGACGATTTGACCAACCTATTTTATGACCATGACCACACTATATCTTATGACCATGACCACACTATCTTATGACCATGACCACACTATCTTATGACCATGACCACACTATATCTTATGACCATGACCACACTATCTTATGACCATGACCACACTATCTTATTACTATGACCACACTATCTTATGACCATGACCACACTATCTTATTATCATGACCACACTATATTATGACCATGACCACACTATCTTAAGACCATGACCACAGTATCTTAAGACCATGACCACACTATCTTATGAGCATGACCGCACTATCTTATTATCATGACCACACAATCTTATGACCATGACCACACTATATTATGACCATGACCACACTATATTATGACCATGACCACACTATCTTATGACCATGACCACACTATCTTATGACCACACTATCTTATGACCATGACAAGAAAAATTGTAATCAGTAATAACCACAGCAAGTTAGTTTTAAATACTTAAAAATATTTTATAGAAGATAAAATGCTAATAGAGAAAAATGCTAATAGAGCCGGTAACAATAACATTAGCAATTAGAATTATGAAAAATTGCTTGATATTCTTCCTTTAAGTTTTAATGCAAGAAAACTATGTCAGTTTTTTAAACAGCATGGTAGCTTTAATCACCCACCAGTATATATAAATCTTTGATGAATTAAATGTTGTAAAGATCAATCTTACCTTCATTAGAACTGATTCACTGAGTTTTTCACGATTTACGATTTTAATGGCCACCCGTCTGCCTGTCACACAATGGACGCCAAGTTTTACCAGACCTGAAAGTATAAAGATAAACAAAATTGATTCAACAGACTAATAAAAACAGCCACAATATATTCAAATACCTTACCTTTTTACACTCCAAGTACTTCCATACGGGGAGAGAAATTCTCTGAGCCAAGTTAAGGAAGAATGACCAAGCCTAATATGAAAAGGAGGGGGTTTGAGAACTTTAACAGTTAATCATAAAATTACTGCCCTTTATATATATGAAGATAAAAATTCATTTCTTAAACTATAAGTTGAGAACATTTGGTAAGGTTATATTTGAGTTTAATTTTTTCCTTATAAATAAACTGTCTTTTGACAGAGCATCACAGCATGTTATTTCTCTCTGTTATAAATATATCTTTATTAGAAACTGAAACATGTTATTGCCTTGTTCCAATGATGTACAAGTTTATGATACATATAACTCTATTTTACTTCATAAACAATATATATCTTCTTATCTCCCAAAAAATATCAACTTTTGACCTTGTATTACTTGAATCAAAAACAAAACATCAGATTTTGATGCCAAATCAGGAATACTGAAAACCAATGAGTCCCATAAGATGCCAAACAGTTGGAAGCAATATTTAATCCAAAAGATACAAATTTAATTGCATCATATAAACCCAATTAGATTGAGATGTAAATCTGAATTTCATTGACAATACAATCTATCAATGTGAATATAACTGATAGAAAACAGTTTTTACTATAAAAACATTTCGATGGAGTTATTTTTAACACAAATCAATAACAGCTTATTCAGATTTTACTTTCAATTTATCTTTTAAAATACAAAACAGAAAGCTTAAAAAACCCTCTAGTATGACTTAGATATTGGACACAAACAACAGTTTACTATTAACACATTTTACAATACAAGTTGATTCTAGAGGCTAGTCTTTCACAGAAACTTCCATTTTAAGTGTGATCAAAAGCTTAATAAATCCATATACAAGGACAACCATTTAAGATTTATAGAACTTGTCTTACATCTTGTGGCCAAAACCTCTTGCCATGTCTTCCTAAAATGATTCCTATACCAATACTGGTCTATTAGAATAATGCTAAGAAAGGAATCTCAATCAACATATTCTTAGTGTATTTTAACAGGAACAGGATATCATCAGCTAAGGTGTTGATTAATGTACATGATTTTCCAGTGCACTACATAGTGGCTGCAGCAACCTCCTGAGACTGGGGTACAAATCGAGAGGATACTATTTTCATGGGGGACAACTGTCGATGTCGAGATTCAAATTGCAGCAGCTTTGTGAAAGCACCATATTCTCAAGCCTCCAATGGTGCATCCATGCCCCATCCCGCACATGTATCCCCACTGTACATAGAAATGCAACAAACAGAATAAAAGAATAATCTGACAATCATTGGTTTTAAAGCGAATAAATTATTAACTAATACTGTAACCAACCATAGAAATGTTTTAATTAAATAACCTACACGATTTGCAAATTATACTATTTTCCATGCATACTAAAATAGTTGGTAAATCTGATAGTAATAGAATGCATTCAGATTTTGTTTTATCTTTTTTAATATCTAAACTCTGCCAAATCAGTTAGTAGACCATTGTATCCCTTTAAAACTCATTACTTCCTAACTTATGAGGGAAAATAAGATACTGGAAGGAAATTGTGTCATTTTCATGATTTTTATAGATATATATTGTCTTCCACACAATATAACAATATCAATCAATCTCAAATACATAAATAATGGTTTGTGTAATATGCCTTATTTCTTTAGCAGGGCTTTTAGGTTGAATAGCTCAAAGCCTAACTAAAAGGTGCCTACTGTTTTGAAAATACTAATAACTGTACAGCTATTGAAGGTTTTTCTAGTTTTTTTTCATATATCAGCACCTTTTATGGCTTCTATGAACGTCATTCCAATTTTATGTCACATGTCTTTGATCTAGAAAATAAGGCTCTCAGTCATCCATGGTAGAGGATATGGACTATTCAAACCAACCAACTACCAGAACAAGACTAAAAGATATTTTATATATATATATTTATGATCTATTTCATAATCTTTTATTCAGCAGGGGACAACAATGCCACAATAACTAGATAATCTCCACCCACATCAAATTTCCCATGGTGTTCTCAGAACAATCTGACTGCCTTTATTGACTTAATCTGTAGGTTCCTTATTCTTTATACAGTAATACAGTAAGCTGATTGAATAAATTTAAAATTAACTTGAGTGACCAATCAGATGACCGAATACCTAAAAGCATCTGAAGTAAGTATTGGAGAAGAAGAACCCCCCAGAATTTAAACCTCAACATCAGGTTGCTTAGCTGACAAACTCAGAGACACCTGCTGTATATAATATTGGCTTCTCAAACTTTTTAACAACATCCTAGCTGAACTAAGCATACCTTAAAACAAAACCATAGAAAGCATATTCTTATCGAAGATTTCTACTCCTGATTGGGATAATGAACACAAGCAACATTGTGTGCTTGGTATCTTGGTATTTGCAAAACACAAATTATCTTTATGATGTAGAAAGACATCCTGTATTCTGGAGTGATGATCATCTCTTGCCCTTCTGATAAAATTTAGTGCAAATTTTCAGAAATGGTAATTCAAAATTGAATCAATTGTAGAATTATAGAATTTATTCTCTAATTGCGAAACACTATATTATTTCAGGGTAATAATCAGACGATTACTTCGAATCAGGTCATGAAATTTGATCATAAAAAAATCATATAGAATTAACATCCAGTCCCTGGAGTATTTCAACACCAATAAACTGATACTATTCTTTATGATTACTATTGATTTTTTTGTCTCAATATACAAAAAGACTGGAAAAATTCTGTCAAAGTGTCATTGTAAAACAAAATAGAGATTTTTAAAAGATCAGAAAAAGGATGTGGGCAGATAAAGAAATATAAAAGTTTGAAATATCCTAGTTTGAATTTCTCTACATTCATCGTATCACGAATACAGGTTTTGACATGGTCTTATTAACCTGTATTAAACTAAGCCCACTACACTTGGTTTTGGGGGTGTGGAAATGAGATTGGTGGCATTTAAATTTGATCAATCAGATCGGTACAACAGAAAGAGATCATGTAAACAAAGCACAACATCGTTTTGCCGTCGCCCATTTGAGGAGATAAGAACACATTCTTTCCAAGTAAATATTCCAAAGTAAGTTTTGATTTTCTCTCGGCGAAAAATCTTACTCAATTCTCTACAGTACATATTCATCAAAATATGTTGTAGCACGTTGCTTTCGTTTTGATTACGTTCGCAAACAAAGAGTGATAACAAGTGATTTGTTTTGATTGGCTGAAATTGGCTACCAATACAATAGGGCCAATTTTGATTGGTCAATATTTAGCTATGAATATGTAATTTTTCTCACATGTGTTACCACAGCAACGAGGAATCATGATGAATGGGGGTGTGGTTTGGACACGATATAGTTTGTATGCTCTAATTTGTTCTTAAATTGAGGTTTATTCAAAATTATTGACACTTAATCAGATGACAATCCAACTAACAGCCTAATATTAGTTACCATTGTAAAACCATATAACCTTCTTTAAGACCTTTGAAACATTCTGATACTACAAAAATAATGTTATGCAAATTGAAACAAGGTTACACTGGAGTCACATGTTTCAAACTATTCCAATACTTTAGCAAGAATTCTCCATCAGGCATCATGTAATCACAAAGACAAACAGAAATCAATAAACCTTCAACCAAATAATAGTAAATACATTAATGCTATTAAATCAATTTTTGTAGCAGATCACTTAAAGATTCATTCAGATGTGACAATAAATAGAGACCAGTGTGTTATAGATTGAAGATAGAAGCAAATGCTACTATCAAATTATGCGTGAATTCATAAGATTGATTGTCCAAATGAGCAAAGCAATGTCATGTGGATATTTTAGCTAAGAGCAGTGATAGCCTACTTGATTGTAACGTTTACAGATCTTTAGTGTGCATAGCTTGTAACCCTAAGAAGTTGGTAAACTCAATTCCAAACTGAGACCTGAAAAACAACCTTGACCATTTAAAAACACTGGGATTAAATTAGAATCTTCTCTAAGTAAATCAATAGAAAATCTATAAGATGATAGTAAAATACATTAGTTTGATGGTCTTATGTTCTTTATGTTCACCAGCAGTACAGAGCTAATTTATAGATTGTTCATCTTCTTCTTACACCAGGCAGGTTTAATATCGAACAGGGCTGCTGATGTGGATAGTCATGCCCTATAAAAATTATGGTATGGTTGGTGGTTTTCGATAATATAAAACACTTTTTTTTATGTTGTCCATCTCCAATTCCATCAGACATTATGATGGAGGCTTGGGGCTGCTAGGGATATGGATGTACCCTAAATTGAATCAAAAATACAATACAGCCACCACTGCTTCAAGACATGATCTCATTCAGATCCGTTACTTCCCCTTTTGAAAGAATACTTTTCACTGAAGATTGACAGCACAAAGCAGGTTGCTTTTTGACAGCTTAAAGCATGATTGTTTACAATGTTAAAATGCTTCTTTTGATGAAATATGTATTTTGAGAAAAAATATTTTCATGGCTTAAGTTTAAGTTGCTTTGAGATCTGAGCACATACAGATTCTTTTTAGG